CTTTGTGTCCGCGCCCAAAAGCCTGGTGTAATGTAAGTCATGGGTTGATTCTCTCGGGGTGATGCTGGTGGTAGCATCTGTACAGATAGGGCAACGATGGAGATGATTTCTCATGAAGATATAATTGTCACTGTTCATTTGACGAGATATCTTCATGAATCACTTCCAACGAAACAGGGATTATGTGAAAGTCGGGCTTTGCCCAGTTGGTCCAATAGTTTGCACCATTTCGAACGGACGGCTTCAGGTTACGTGACGGGGAGTATTGAAGTTGAACGTCGTAGTGTATAAGTAAACGTTTAAAGTAAAAGATGTTCGAAGTGATTGCATGAAATCCCTTTGCTTGACGTAAGTTTGGTAACAATACAAGTTATTATTTGCTTTTTAAAATATAATGTTATATTATGCTATAAACCCTGCAAAGCGTAGAAAAGTCCAGAAAGAAACTCGGTGTATGGTATACCAAATGATGACAATCAGAGCATGTTCAGAAGGCTTATCTTCCCCCAGCTCCCTGTATAAATTGGATCAATGTTAAATCCATTCGCTGTGTCCTCAAGGTATCGTTAATAAACCCCCAAGTGAGCTGGGGAGTTCGGAGTTCAGCTAAGGTTATAAGGTTATGAGTATTCCCTGTGACCTCAAGGTAAACGATTCAGGACCCGTGGGGGAAATGCCAGGCTGGGGCAAAGGGGACGCGCGGCAGCCCAAACGGGGTTGTACCAAAACCCACAACGGGTATCAACCCCGGCACCAAAAAAAAAAAAATTTCAGATGTCGGTACCAATTTGGGGTTGCCGGGTCGCGGAAGTCGAATCAGCCATGTGTGCAGTCTGAATCCCTTCTCGAGAATCTTTTTCTGTATTTTGAAGTTTTTGAACAAAGTTTGAAGAAGCAAACTAGGCGATGAACACTGTCTGTTTGATGTATTTGTTTTCCTTCTTGTATTTCGAGGTTTTGCTGATGGGACTGATAAGGCCAGCATTGTGTCCTCTTTGTATATGAACGACTGACCAACTGACTGCACGAATGTCACCTGTGAGCCGGGGAGTGCTATTGTATGCGATTACCCCATAGCGCCAATAAATGGACTAAATCCGGCCATTTTTAATCACTGTTGAATAAAAGAATTGTGATGTGCGTTTGGGACAAGTTTTACGCTTTCCTTGTCTTGTTTTAGGACACAGGCCCTATATTCAAAGTATCACAAAAAGTGAGAAAAGTAAAGTCATGAAGTAATTTCCCGTAGCTTAAGTTTGAACTTAACCACCATTTTTTTCCATTAAAACTTGCCTACAAGGACTTGCGCCGTCATAACGCTGACGTGCTAATAATAGCCGGAGTTGGAGCAAACCCAAGTTTAGTCATGGCTTAGTGAAACATTCCTTCACCGTGTCAGCTCGCCAAGAACCGTACACATTGACTTCAGAAAAAAAAATGACCTAGACGAAACGTGTGAGTGGCAAAAAGTAATGCTCTAAATCGCCGTGATCCGCTAAAAGGTACCGCACCGTCTCGCTTTGCCTCCCCGGGGGATTTCAAGCTGCATTCCCCGTTATCATGAAGGAGAGAGCTCGCCTCGAGGTAGTTTTATAATATTGTATCTAGCACACGCCAACTGGATAGCCCCGGGGTAACTTTTGGTAATACCGCAGGGGAGCTTGGGTTGATTCGTCTAGGGATCCGATTATGGTAGAGGGGGCCCCGATGAAACGGTACCGGGCCTTCTGTGTCCATTAAACTGCATTAACAAATCCGGTTGAGTTTATGATATGGACTTGGATTATGTTCCTGCGATATGTACACGCATGCCGTCGGCAGACGTGTTTGACTGTTTGATGTCATGTTCCTGTCATGTTTATCAAGTTCAACACCGCTGCCTGGTTTAGTTATAAACTTGGCACAGGCTTCTGGCTTAGTTTCTGAAAGTTCTGACTGTTAACAAAACTGCAAGAATTACAAATGAAAGTGTGCGTTTTTTTCTCTGATGATCGAAAACCATTGTCCCGTGTTTCGTTCAACTTTAGACAGATCACAGTCCATCTTTGTTAACTTTTAGTTGACGTCTTAGGCCGAGGTTGCACCCTTAAAAAATGACAAACTTAAAGACATTTCTGAAGTTTCTTCAAACTTTCCTAAAATCCATCATTGATCATTTTCCTACTGTTATCAACAGTCGGAATTTAAAGGAATAACTGATACAGTCGGCAATGATGATCTGATATATCGTGCACTAGACGATGACCATAGAAAATCGCTCGAAACGTTTGCGGATTATTATCCTACTTTTCCCGCTCTTATTGAGGCAGATATAATCCTCTCGACACCACTCAAAAGTGCAAAACGTCTCCACTCTCCAGTGAAAGCCGAGCAAACCGGAGACGGCAGTTTTGGGCAAACTTGAAAAAGACATCACAGAAACGAGAGGACGCGTGTGTGATGGGATTAGCTATGGAGGCACACGTGGGGCTACTTGAGGTCACTTGAGCGCCCGTGTGCCGTGGCAGTGTAAATAAAAACTTAGTGGACCTTTTCTCTCCCTCCAAATATGTGCTGGCGATCGATCCAATTCGTAGGGTTAAACATGGGCCTGATACTCCGGCAGAAATGGCTTTGCACACACACGAGATGGAAGCCTGTGTGTGTTCAGACGGTCACTTCATGCCATTTTGTCCGGGCAATAATGTCATTGATGTTTTCATTTTACAGTCGCCGTGCTCCTGGGAAGATTGGTACAAAGTGTGAGGGGTGCAATAAAAGCACTTAAACTGTACGGAGTTCTGGGCGCGCAGGCTTCCGGCGCCACATTTCAGACATGGTACTTCACCACCGGAGGCATTCATTCGTCAAACAATACGGAAGTAGCATTCATGTATCAATCTAAGAATTAATAAAATCACATCTTAGACCACAATATTGTCGCCTATTATGGCTACGACTACGGTTAACCGTAGTGCGCCAATGGCAAATAACGAAGCCTTAGCCTCAAAATACCTCATTCAGATTTCAGACACAGCCATATAATTATACAGACCCATGTTAAAAGGCCAAAATTGGCTGGTTCCTCACTGCAAAGACTCGAAAGCCTATACGAACTATACTCGGTGGTGGCAGGTTCCCTGAAATCCACCATGATATTGGATTTGGACGAGCAGTTACACTTATAACTGAAATCCTCCTAATTTGGTTTGCCAAATTAAAATGCCGTGGCCAACCGCGCGGGTTCTTATGCGTCAAAGACACCGCCGCGAGTATACAGAGGTCATCAAAAAAATCCAATCTTAATAAAATTTAATACGAGCCAATAAGATTGTCGTAAAATGTAATGGTGGGCGAAAGCCAACGTAAGTATTTTTAATGCAGTGTTTTTCGATGAATCAAAGCGCTGGTTTCGAAAGTAACGTGCAAGCCTATGAGTCGTGGAATTACTGTGAGTTTACCAAATGCAACATTACTATTTCTGATTCCTCTGTTGGTTTTGGTTTCATTAATACATTTTTATAACAATTTTCTGTCACAAAATAAACGATAGGATTTTCATTAAAGACCATTTCTGAACATTGATTTCTTTACAAAAAGAAAACAAACGAAAAGAAATCTTTTGAAGGTATATAATGTGCAATGTTAATAGCATTTGTAGAACACGTGTGCACAAAATCAACGGTATGTTTTCATCAAAATAATTTGGTTAATTTCTTAGAAAAGGTGAATGAATTTCTTTGAAAATCTTACTCTAAGAATTGTGAACACCAAACGGAAGATCGACATTTGATCTTGTTCTCAAAGTTCTCCTTCCCAGTTTTTGAAATGATATTGATGTTCATATCCATTCTTTCGTCAGAAGTTTTACCGCTTAACACGGAACCCACTGAGAAAATCAAGGTAGATAAATATTACGGTTGAACAAGATGTTCAGGTACATCTGATCACCCAACCTCCTTACATCACTGTGTTGGTATCTGACACTGCATGCACTATCAAGCAATTAATACTGCTAGGTCACCGTCAGGGCATCAACCTCTTCCCCAGGGGAACCCCAGGGAGGATGCATTAGGTATAGGATGCGAGGCGTGTGTTGCGCTAATAACGCTTATTAACAGCAGTAGTACGGTCGGGGCACGCTGGGAGATAGCAATGATGTGAACTGCACATAACTGTCAAATCTTCCCATCCCCATCATCCGTTCCGGGGGATTTTTTTTTTCTTGAAAGCGAAGTGATTTCTAAGAACGGAATTTAACAAAAACTAATTCTGTATATAATAATGGCCCCGTATTTAAAAGCTTTATAAAGTAAGATTTTTAATCAGCCGGAGATGATACAGGATCGATTCTATATCACTGAACGCGAGAAGTTCAGTTATAATCACAGAATAGGAGACATTTTCAACATAATTACACACAGCATGGACGAATGATTATTATATGACACCACTTGAATTGATGTGTGTACGTATCTATCTGTAGCCAATATGTAAGCAAGCAGCAAAATAACATTCTTTGTGCACTCTGGTTTCTGCACTTATTTTGTTGAGAACACCCGATTTGGCCTTCCAATTTTGTTTAAACGAGTCGGCTTACAATGAACTTTCAAAGTGATACGTATTTTTCCAGATTGTTTGGTAGACATTTCGTTGGACTCAATGTTTCGCTCAAAACTCTCAGGTCATCTTCAAAATTGAAAGTGTACATGAAGTGGTCCCATCTATAACACGTCCATCACAAGTCAATCACCGGACGTCTGGTCCTAAGTAAAGTCAGAGGATAATATTCAAAATAAACCGCGACAAAGGCCTTGCTTTGCTATCGCTCGTCCCCTGTTACTTGTGACTGGACTTGTGACTAGACTTGTGATTTACTAGTGTCTTGACTTGTGATTGACTTATGATGGACTCATGATGGACTCGACTACAACACTGATTCGCTCCACTCAACGTTTCGCTCAACACGCTCGGGTCATCTCCAAAAATTGAAAGTGTATTTATGACCCGACCCCACCTACCTCATGGACACCCATTCTCCTTTCGGTCGGGGCGGCACGATGGCCGACACACCCTCGTTGCCTTGGAGACGCCGCATCTGAGCCCCGCACTCGGACTCGGACAGCGCCCTCACAATATGGCTGTCCAGCTGGTTGCCTGATGGAACGGCGGAGGCCAGACCACAGAGAACTGTGCAGATGGGCACAAAGAGAACAGAAAGTTGTACAATTTATATGATTTTGATAACAAGCTCAAGCAACAGGACTGGAAACAAAATGGCCTCCTTAAAACTGCTGTCTGAACATTTCAAAATTGTCAGTGTTCCGTACTTTACAAGGTCCCTACTCCCTACAGGCTTAATTGTATGTGTCGTTTACGCTGTAGAACCTTTCCTGTGCATATATTGAGAATACAAGCTACAGAGAATCACAAGTACGGTGCTACTCTAGGTAACATTTTAGGTTTGTGGTTAGGTAATTGGGTTTTTTTGGGGGGGGGGGTGGGGGGCGGCTTATCCTCTCTCTCTCGGCAAATCAAGGATGCAATGTTTTGTAACTGTATCAGCTACGTAAAGGTCTGCCAGTAGTGCTGAGATTCATTTATAACGCTTGTTTATTGCGGCAACACAGCCAAGTCCACCACTCACAACTCACAGTCCGTACATCATTGGTCAAAAGTTTTAATAATACGGGATATCAGGAGAAACTGTGACGCCAAACGAAACACATGACAAGTGCTGTGCATGTCCATTTTCCGCTTGTCAGAGGCTGCTAGCGTGTGCAGTGAGTCCTAACAGCAACGCAGACGTCACTTTCTTGCAGTCTATTGAGTCAGCGAGTTCGGGCCAGATGCATTAATATCATAATTATGATTCTTTCCGTCCTGAAGGCCGGCTTTTCCCCCGTTAGCCTTTCAACCTCTCACGAACCACTCCCGGGGTTGTTGTGAATGAAAACACGGCGGGCCCGGGACCCGAGCCGCTCGCTGTTGACGGGACGTCGCTCGCTTTACGCGCGTGTTTGACGGTGCGTGTTTGGTCCTTTGACTGAGAATGTCTTGAGAATTGCTGAGGCTTCCGTTGGGAATTCTTGACATGAAAAGACGGAAGGGAGACAGGATGCAGGATGTTTGACCATGAACAATAGTAGTGTATACCACTGCTGTACACGTGTTTACTGCAAATATAAACCATGCATTTTGAAGAATTTGTAAATTAGACATTTGTCATATCCCTGTATTATATCAATTCTACCTCCATACGGATACAAATTCAACCAAATCTAATGCATTCAGTAAAATAATTTTTGATCGATTTAACAACCTTGCAGCTTTCTGCTACACCCTTTTTTCATAAATTTTAGGTCACAATTCCTTACATATTGGTTTATTAAATATATCGTTCAAGGCCTCTGGCAATTTGTGCCAACAATTTAAATTATGATTGACCTGTGACCTGATAAAATTAATTTATAGGTCATCTTGTACACAGTGAAAACAAAGCGGTATCCAAAATATGCACTGTGATTAAATTCATGTCCTGATGAGAAAAATATTTAATATAATTGATGTGCTTCAGCTGTTGGTTCCTGATTGCACTGTACGAATGCAGTGCGGCCATTGCAACAAACAAGTTAGGCTCCTTCTGAAAATTGAGCCACCGACAATCCGCCCATAACACAATTTCACAAATTCCATTTTCCAGTGAAGAATTGCATTTGCCGTTTTCCAAAAAAAAAATCTAACCCGGAATCCAAGGCTAGCTTCACACGCACTCACACGAATTCACGTCTGCTTTGGGGGCTCAAAAACGTGCCGAAACGTTCGCCAACAACCTTCAATAGACCAGAGACCAATTAGCCTAGCCTCCGGCACAAGTCGTTCGATAAGACATCACACACGTACTGCTCTCTAACCAATTCGGCCTTTTTTTCGTATCGGCAGTTTTACACGTAATAAAGGAGAACATGCATGGAACATGGCACTTCAGGTGTTTTCCGGGTGAAAAATCGATGATCTGGGATCGAGGTCAGCCTGAGCCAAAGATTTTTCCTGTTCTTGTCCTCCAAGTTTGGATAAATTCTTGTCCTCCAAGTTTGGATAAATTCTTGTCCTCCAAGTTTGGATAAATTCTCTTTAAAACGGTTTCCAAGACTGATGTTTTGTACTGTATAATAGTGGTTCCATATTATCCCAAAACAGTCGGAGGTATTTCCATTTCAATTAATTTTTGTGCATTCTTTTTTAGGGCAAACTGTTTTAAGCTTGACAAATGTAAGTGTTGTCTGGCTGCCTATACCGCTTGGGCTTGAGGTACATGACGAAATATGTCATTCCCATGCAGTTTGAATGTTATTATTCACTGCCTTCATTAAAAATGTGGCAATGATGATTGAAATGTTGCCGATGAGGCCAGTTATCGACTCCCTTCTTAATTTGGCCCAAAAAAATGCACTCTGTTCATTTTGTTTTGTGTCAGAGCGTGTTCTGCTTCCAAATTTCAACCCATCTAGTTTCACATATTGATACTATTACGAGATCACTCATTAGTTTAATGCAACTTGCTTGAATTTTGCGTTTCATGTCATACTGATTGTGCCTGCGCTGCAATTATTTGATGGGAAAATATTTTACAGTCTGTGACAAAAACCATTCCAAAATACCTTGCCCAGAATCTGAGTTAAAAAAACCCCGCAAGTTAGATGTGAACAGTGTTCACATCTAACTTGCGGGGTTTTTTTTTACAATATACGCTGTATCTCCAACGGTCTCTCATTTTTGGAGGCCATATTCTTGAAGGCATTAGCGGTATTAGGTTGTCCGATAATTCTGTTCCCTTTTGTCGTGAAGGTTTAATCCGTCTTTGTCATCCCACTGAGGATAAGCCCTATCAATTACTACTCAGAATAACTCTCCATTTTCTTGAGGATTTGAGCGGGCTAGGATTAGTCCATCCCGCCTTTTTAGACTGCATTGAAGAAGTTGCCTTGATAGTTTCTCTCACCTCACTGTTCGAATTATCCCTATAGTACTGAAATATACATGGGAGGCGTTTCCAATATGGTGGCTTTTGGGGTGTACTGTTGACCTTCTGTGACCTGCTCGCGCAATACACAGAGTTAGCATAAAGTGAACTTGGGTACTAGACGTGTTTAATATTCAACTTGCAGGTCTTTTAAAACGAACACATGGCTTCTCTGGGCTTAGAGCTAATGAGATGTACTGCCTGTCGGATTTTTTTTGTCTGAAAAGATTTTTCTCTGAAAACCAGCAGTACTTTAGTTTTGATGTAAAATTTCAAACTCATGTTTAAAACGTTCAATCTTAATTACCTTCTTTTATTTTGCTGAAAATATTTCGTAAAGCCCATACAATTCGTGCTAAATTTAATTTGGAAAATGTACTTTATTTGTTAATTAGTATCGATGTCGTTAAACCAGCCCAAAATAACTCTTCGAAAAAAAAATTTCCCCAAAAGTCAGATTTTTTTTCAATAATTAAGCGCATGGAGCACGTCGTTGTAAAACGAAGATAATATACAGCAACACTGTACCAAGCTTAGTCATTAATATTTACTTTCAATAAAATCAATGAAAAGTTAAAGTAAAACCACGAGAAAAAAAACAATCCCATCAGTTTGCGTGAGTGACTTGTGACAATAACTATAATCCAGGGCCGCTCGAGTGAGATTTTCAATTTGTAGGCTTGGTCGTCAAAAAATGCCTCCAGCGATGTCAGTGTCACTGTGGTTATCAATAACTGCGATACATTAATGCCATATCAGAGTCTTCCATCCTCATTTTTAATGCATCTGGGTTTTTTTTCTCCATTTTTGTATTTTTGAAGGGGGGGGGGGGAGTGTTCAGAATTCCATGTATTGAGAGGCAATTATTTACTGGCGCCGTAGACACGCGTGGGAATTTCGAAAGTATTCAGTGACACGTAAGAGTGGTTTTGCCAGATTTCTGTATTTTGATTCATTAGAAAAAAAACAGGTGCTATTGTCAAAAACCAGTCAGAAATGCACAACAAGTGGAACTTAACGAGGCAAGGCCATATCTGTAAATACATCAGAAACTACACGAATTGAGGCGCCTCTGTTGCATAGTTCGCGCTAGAAAGTACTTAACCACTTGGCACAGAATCTCATGGTCACAGAGTTGCACAAAATTTGGTATGCGTGGTGCGGTACGGATATTAAAACTGCATCCATTTCACCAAAGTTAGCATTGAAAACAGTATAATGTCATAAGCAAACAAAGCTTGTTTTCCCGCCTTAAATTTCACGATCAGCAACATTATAAGTTCCCCAAATCAAAACGTGATACTTCTAGGGTTGCGTTTCGTTGTGCCTCGGGGAGAATCTTTATTAATCTCGCCCGTTTAATTATGCAGGGTCGTATGAACACACCCCAAGTGATGATATGAAACCGAGATTGGCATGTAAATTTGAAATGTAGATGGCCGTACCAAAAAAACGACCAAGGTTCTTTCGATATTATATCCCTGGTGTACCTTTACGATCCCAAAACCACGCAATAACTTGCCAGGCCACGGATTATTAAATTCCCATATCCCCGTGGCGATTTGAAACGACCGCTCATAAAACGGCGCTCCGAGAATTCGTTCGGTAGGGGAGAGATGAAGAAGGAGAAAAAAACGCACGAAATGGTGAACTCGACACGCGCAGATCTAGAAAAATGGCCAAACGAAATGTTCGATATTGGGCAGTGCTATATTTGGGCCCCGCGGGGTACTTTTGTGTTGGGAGGATCAGAAATATTGCGCTGGGGCCACGCAATATGCATGTATTCATTTCCCACGCGACCCAGTGATTATTTGTACAGGGTCGGCAGAATATACCCACTTATCGTGCATTTGGGGCATTTGCGACAACAGTAGAATTTTTGATTGCTGACTTTATTTGGTTTGAGACAAAATGCGCCATTGAATTTGAACATGCCTCATCATGTTGTTAGGAAGTATAGTTTCAATTTAGGCCTAGGTATACACCTACGATGGGCCAATACGCAATATATGCTTTGAATTCTATTACAAATGGACGGAACCTTTTGAATCAGCATCATACTTTATTTATACCTTTATTTAAAGGTCTGACCTGACGGGGTGTCCCTAATTTTGCAATTCGTGCCCCTGTTTAGTCATATTGGTACAACGCTTATTGCTCAACAGCAATGCCAGGTGATTTTCTCGAGCCTTTTTCTTTAAGCAGAAAAAAAATACCTTTGTTAGAATAAAACAGTACATGTACCTGCAGCAAAAGAAAACCATCAAAAATTTAAACAAACATTCAATTCATTATTCTTTATACACATCTTTTAATTCAAACCAATGTCATATTACTTACCAAGAAAACTGACGGTGATAACTAGTCCTAAACTTTGTACCTCCATCCTGTCTAGAAGCGATCAAATCTTCCACTTATTTTGAAGACGAGTGTTTATTTCCTAGATTCCACCGGTGTAAGTTCTCTCAGGGCTTATAGCCTCAAGCCCCCGGTATTGTCCCGTCAGAGGCGCCGTCTATTGTCAGCGAGTGTCCCCTTTGTCAAGCGAAGCAAATCCCGCTGCTCACAGATATTTTCCGGTCATTTTGCTGCCAAGTATTTATTTCGCAAGCCTCTCGTAAACAAGGAGGAGCGATTCCTGCCGCGCAACTAGAAAATCCACATCGTAAAATTTATGACCGGCAAAGCTATACGCTCGCTAATAAAGCACTGTCGAATACCACGCCGCCAAATCACCGGCAATATACTTTGCAGAGACCTATAAAACACGATAAAGTTTTTTTCAATTGTCCCACTCACAAATCCTCCAGTGAATGCGAATGTCCCTATGCCTAGTCGACTCGTACCACCGTACCACAGTAAGTGTCCCGCAAATGTAATTGATACTTGTCCATTGACACAGGAGCACCAATTGTCATCCAGTGCACATCGTCACTAAACTTCTAAAGCATCTTTCAAAACATCACTGCCGCACACGTGACGAGCTATGGCGATACCACAGACGCAACTTGGTAACAGTCATCCGCCGCAGTTGCTAATTGGTCTTTTAAAGCCGAGATAAGGAGATCAGCTCTTGATGAGAATGATTCGGTTGTCAGGTTCCAAGAAGTGCAATGCAAACACGGAGCAGCCTCAATGGTTGTTGGGGCCCAATAATTGTTTCTGGTCTCAATAATGAAAGCTGGTTTTTTGGGCACGAAATTAAAAATATGGACGGACCAGAGGCTGGTATACTACAGAGTTGTACAGGTTTATAGGTGCTGAAACAAAGACTGTCCAATCCCCAAACAGGAACTTTGAAGGAAAGAAAGATGCTTTCGAGATGTTACCACCTAAAAAATATCTTCACTTTTTTCCTTTCTCCTATCATCCAACCCTCTATCCGGTACGTGCTACACTCATGCGTCTTTTCCTCCCACTACCCCCGTCTCCCAATATTCAATTTGCTCGGCGTAAACTGGACCCATGTCTAAATTGATTGGTGTTTCGCCTTCGCGTCCTTTTTCCCTTTCCTCCAATAATACAACTCGGGCTGCATATCAGCCACGCTTCGCTGCATGCATGCGTGCGTGCTAGTTCCCATAGCGTGCGTGTTAACAGATAACGCACATGGCTGGCCGCTTCTTTTAAAGTACGCATGCGCTGCTTGAAATATCGCCGTCAGTGACTTTGTACTAGACTGTGTTGTGTGTGCCAAAGTTTCTTAGACAATAAAAATTGTGGCCAAAAAAATATCGTGGTCGTAAAAAATACATCAACGCCGGGATACTGAACACATGTGATACTATAAATTGCTGTAGGATTTGATATTGTAAAGAGGAAAAGAACAGGGATTAATAATCATTTGTACATAACTCAAATCAGTGCTAGCCTTGCAAATTTGGCCAGTAAGAGCTATAACAAAAACAAAAAGCGCATAAAAGCATTTCAGTCAATGTGTTTTGTTCAATTTATTTCAATTCAATTCAATTCAATTTATTCTCATCATGTAAAAACATGAAACTTGTCTCCTCGTTCTGCACACGTATACACTACTTCACATAAAAACCATAAAAACATATACATGTACAAATAGACGTAACAATATAAAACAAAACTGACAAGAGAGTACACGTAACCACAAATAGAACAACAAATGTAGCCTAATGAAATAAATAAATAAAAAATGGTAGTTCGTTATAAAATAAATGTGTCCAGACTGTGCTATATAGTTCAAGGACCTCTAAAAGTATATACAACCACTGCTTTTGGTTGAGTATTTTGTTTGAGAGAGGAGGAGAATTTTGGAAATCTTAGATTTCTAGTGAAAGCCTGAGAACTATAGTGACAACTTAAATAGGAATTTGAATGGCACTGTGTAAATGTTAGAGATAAACTGAATGGTAAGGTGCAACCTTTCTGCCATCCAGAGACAAAGTTTTACAATAGGTAGACAAAGTGTTGAAATGTTGTTGTTGTTGGTTTTTTTTAGGGGGGGGGTACACGGGAGATTGTTATTCATGCATGGAGAAATAATCACTGACATAATTACCAAAAATACTTTAAAATGACATTGCCAATAAAAAACTTTACTTTTTACACAAGACATTTAGCATATAATTCAAATATTCTGATTTTGTATTCTAAAATAGACATCGACTCACAAAACAGGTGACTATATGTATAAGTTTTTCGAGATTTTTCCTCGCCAAAATGAGGGCGCTATTTATGATTTAAGCTCCCCGCAATCGCCTGAACTTTGACCGGTGGCGCGCAGGCGCGTCGCCACGTCCACGAGTACTGTGCACGTGAGAACGACATCGACACGAGGGGTCTTTCTTTTGCACGTGGTACGTCGATGGAGGAGGTTGGTGATGATAGTGCTCCCGCAATATCCCTTTTATTCCAGCTGAAATGTTGAACTTTTCTGCATTCTTCGTCTTAAATAGTAAATGTTAACTTATGCAAGGCATGGTTGAGGAACGGTGTTGTCGATAACCTCTCTCTTTGGTGGAATTTAGTGGAATTTGTCCGAGTCTGATTGAAGAATTTCATGTCGATTTTTTTTTGGGGGGGGGGAAGAAAAATGGCGCCGCCATCACATTCACGTCACAGAGCATGCACATAATGCAGTGTACACAACATGGAGGGCAATGGTTCTTTAGTGAAGCATTCATGCATTTCTGAAAGTAATGAAAGGGTAGGCTAAACTAAACTGTCGATTTAGTCTTTGGATTGGCATGATTAGGAATGATGAATGAATTCAGCATGTTCAGGGAATATACGGACGTCACAATGTGACACCCTGTGTACAAATCATATGAACCCCATGAAAAATTTAGTGTTTTCTCACTAAATGCTTTAATATTTTCCCTGCTAAATTTCACTTTTTAGGACATGGAAATGATGGAATCGCTTTCTGATGGCTGATTGTTCATTGCAGGGAAAAATTAGTGGCGTACGTATGGAAATCTTTCCGAATTCAGAATCGTGCAACCAGACATGCATTGCCAGCACACAGCAGGACAGTCTTGTCTACCTCCATTAATTTTAGCTTGACTAGGCCTGCCTTAATGATAAAAACAATCATGAGCTTGAGGTTTCTTTTTAAAGGAAAACAAATTCAGGGAAAGAATGTTGCAATATCATGCCACTTCAGCGGTTGTGTACAAAGTCTATGGAGTTTCAAGAACATTGTATTTCCTAAAAAATTGGAAACTTTCCTCAGTCCCAGAGTAATGTCTTTTCAATATTTGTGCAATGACCCTTATTGAGATGATTTATGAAGAAAAAAATGGCATCAGGTTGCAACATCCTTTCCAAAATCAGATTTTTTAATTTAAATTGTTTTTTTTTTGTCTTTTAAATAGGATTACGGTAAAACAAAAAGGGGGATTAGGCCTATTCGAAAAGGAAAACTGGCACTGCCTAGTGAAAATGAGAGAGTGCGATCTTAACCATAATCACTCATGAGTCATGACATGATCATGTACTTACTATGTTTTCAGCATCAATGCTAGTCAGACCCAAGTATCGACCGATCAAATTCTGCCTCAGGTTGAATATACCCCCACTTACATGTAAACATATGGTAAGGCCAAGGGGGAGAATTCGACCAGAATAAGGCAAACCAGCACTGCTAAGGGTAACTGAACGAGTGATATCTATTTAGCGTCAACAATGCAGCAACAAACAGGATCAGTACCAAGAAAGCATCGACAAGGTCAAAATGCACTCTTTTGCATAAATCAATAATCAAACCCCTGTATGCCAGTGTTAGCAATTTGCATTTGCTGCATGTGCACTGGGTATATTGACTTAGTTGAGTTTTGCAGGGTGCTTCAGCCTAGCATAAATGTTGTCGTGATAGTTGGGAATTCGGGATAAAACCCTGATGTGATGCCAAATCTGGGTTTACAGTAAAGTATCGAATCCAGTGTGGATGTGATGACTAGTAGGGAGGCGTCTTCTGATATAAATGAGGACTGACCCAAATGACAACTGATCCACACGATGTGCATTGATTTTCATTTTAATGAGCATTGTGCTTGTACATGTTGCAAGTTCATGAGTAATGAACTGCTAGTAAGCTACCACAGAAACATTTGTGGTTTAAAATTAATATTCAACTGAAAAAAGTAGGTCCTGCTTTGCTGAAAAATAGATGACCCTACATGTAGTCAATTATTCAGGGTGAAAATTTGCAATTTTTACTAAAGCATGACCTTTTTCAGGGATTTTACAAGCAGAAATGTAGGGAGGGGGACATCGGAGCACTGACTTGAAAGGGCTTGGATCTAATGAAGTTTTAAAAAAATTAGGGATTTACAAAATGGTGATTTCATTTGGTTAAAACAAATCTCTCCAAAATGAAAAAGTTCAAAGCTTGCACTAGGTTTTCCTCCTAAATCTAAAAGTGCAATGTCTACACATTGTCTTCTCTTTTATTGTCCCCGTGGGAGACCAGTGGATTCCACTGAATGGGCTAAGAATTAAATAAAGATTTGATTTAATACAGTTTACGTTTATTCAACAGATTGACGGAGTTACAAGAACATGAGACAAAGATCGGCTGTTTACAATAGAGTCGTCCGTGATGGATTAATTTGAGAAGTAAGAGCTGAAAAACAAATAACCGTTAGAAATCAGTTGGTCTATAGTGACTAAATTACTCTAAATTTATGTCCAGAAACATACCAATGGAAAATGTGATGTCACAGTGATGATAAACCTAGCTCGCTTTGAGTTCACTCAACGCTGAAGAATTATTGTTCCCAAAACTTAATCTGAGTACGTCACATTTCTCGATTTGTAAGCAGAGTCCCTCGGAATTTTCTAAGTTTTTCAAAGTCCGACGGCCACATTTATCCTGTATTCCTTAATTTTTCTGCAAATTAAAATTGCTTGCTTACAACTTTTTTCACCATATCGAATGGCTGTTTAGTTCAAGAGCTGAATATTCTTTCCTTCTTGTTTTTATTTTTTTCAGGAAACGGGAAGGTTTTTTTTCCGACATTCTTTGGGTCAGAATAAAGTATAATAGCAGAGTTCAGCTGAGGTGAGTACGCACACAAGAACTACAAGAACATGAAACGAAGATAGGTTGTATAAAATGATAAATTTGAAAAGTAAGAGTTGAAAAACAAATAACTGTTAAAAATCAGTTGGTCTAGGTGACTAAAATACTCGAATTTATGTCCAGAAACATAACAATGGAAAATGTGATGTCACAGTGATGATAAACCTAGCTCGCTTTGAGTTCACTCAACGCTGAAGAATTATTGTTCCCAAAACTTTATCTGAGTACATCACACTTCTCCATTTGTAAGCAGAGTTCCTCGGAATTATCAATGGTTTTAGTCCGACGGCCGCATTTAGCCTGTATTTCTTATTTTTCTGCTAATAAAAATTGCTTGCTTACAACTTTTTTCACCATATCGAATGGCTGTTTAGTTCAGTAGCTCAATATTCTTAACTTTGGTTTTGAATTTTTAATTTTTTTTCCTTCAGAAAACGGGGAAGTTTTTTTCTGACATATCACTGGGTCAGAATGAAGCATCTTTAGCCAAATTTAGCTGAAGGTAAGTTCAAATGCAAGAACAGTTATTGAACATTTGTAAAATCTTAAAAACAGTTATTTCACCAGTATGCAACAAAACCAAAATCATATATTTTCATCTTTCATGTGTCCAATGATGATAAGCTGCTCGCCGCTTTGAGGCTTTCCAAGCTGTGAAACCAAGAGCAATTTATAATCCTGGTTTAATCTGACGGACACTTTCATTTTACAGTTAAAAAAAATTGTGATTAACTTTATGACACAAATTAAAGTTAACATGAAAATATTCGGACGTTGTATGTGTAGCTATGGTGTGTTTGGAATTTTTTTAATATTTACTCCATTTTTCCCCTCTGTAGGGCACCACTTTGTGTGTGATCCTTCTACCAGAATGAACTTAATGGTGAGAATGATTTAAAAATTGTATCAACTTTTTATCAATTTGAAAATAGCCAAATATTACGCATAACTCTTTGAGCGCGGAATTTAACATTGGATTGATTCAGGTTCTGTAACAAGTTGGAAATCCCATGCAACTTGCTGCGAATGCATCTGTCATCTGCATGCAAAATAAACTATTTTTAAGGACCCTGTGCAGGACCCAATCATAAGGACAGAGTAAAAACCCAGCCTGCCATAATGACGTTGCTTTCTAGCGCAAGACAACTCTGTATTATGCATGCAAATGATGTGCAAACAACAACAGACATTCAAATTTGGTGATAGTCTTCATCTGTTATTTTTATGCCCCGCGGCGAAGCCGAAGGGGCATACTGTTTCCGCCTTGTCCTTCCGTGGGTGGGTGGGTGTGTGGGTGTGTGTGTCCGGACAAATCTTGTCAGCGCGATAACTTGAGAAATACTTTACATATGAACTTCAAATTTGGTTTGTGGATTGTCCTTGGTAATCCTAAGAAGCCTTTTGCATTTGGGGCCGAAAGGTCAAGGGTCAAGGTCACAGTGGCTGAAACAATAGAAATTTTGTCAGCGCGATAACTTGAGAAATACTTTGCATATGAACTTCAAATTTGGTTTGTGGATTGTCCTTGGCAATTCTAAGAAGCCTTTTGCATTTGGGGCCAAAAGGTCAAGGGTCAAGGTCACAGTGGCTGAAACAATAGAAATTTTGCCAGCGCGATAACTTGAGAAATACTTTACATATGAACTTCAAATTTGGTTTGTGGATTGTCCTTGGCAATTCTAAGAAGCCTTTTGCATTTGGGGCCAAAAGGTCAAGGGTCAAGGTCAGAGTGACTAAAACAAAAGAAATTTTGTCAGCGCGATAACTTGAGAAATACTTTACATATGGACTTCAAATTTGGTATGTATATTGTTCTTGGTAATCCTAAGAAGCCTATTGCATTTGGGGCCGAAAGGTCAAGGGTCAAGGTCACAGTGGCTGAAACAATAGAAATTTTGTCAGCGCGATAACTTGAGAAATACTTTACATATGAACTTCAAATTTGGTTTGTGGATTGTCCTTGGCAATCCTAAGAAGCCTTTTGCATTTGGGGCCAAAAGGTCAAGGGTCAAGGTCACAGTGGCAAAAACAAAAGAAATTTTGTCAGCGTGATAACTTGAGATATACTTTACATATGAATTTCAAATTTGGTTTGTGGATTGTCCTTGGCAATCCTAAGAAGCCTATCGCATTGGGGGTCGAAAGGTCAAGGGTCAAGGTCACAGTGGCTAAAACAATAGAAATCTTGTATTTATTCTGAGATCATAGGGATTAGGGATTAATTCATATAAAACCTACAGAAGACACTAATGCTGTCAATGAACGTTCCATTTGACCAAGGTACATGTAAGTTGATGTTAGAGTGGTGTTATGTCATGGAAACAGTCACGGTTGCGGGGCATTTGTGTTTGTAAACACACCTGACTTGTTTTATCATGTGAAAAGACCGTAATGTTCAAAGTATGAACTTTCTTCTTTCATGTGTCCAATGATGATAAGCTGCTCGCCGCTTTGAGGCTTCCCAAGCTGTGAAACCAAGAGCAATTTACAATCCTGGTTTAATCTGACGGACACTTTCATGTCACTGTGGAATAAATTTGACACGAGTTGAGAAGATGATATGCCATTTTCAAAAGATAACGTGTAGTTTTGTTGGTGTCAAGCAAGTGTCTCATATTTACTCATTTTTGTCTCCGTAGGATGCCCTTTTGTGCTTGGTCCTTCCACCAGACTGAGCTGAAATATAAGCGGAGGTGAGATTTTTTTTGCAACTGTACCGCCTGTGAGGGAATGATTCTAAAATTGTATTAAAAAAAAGGCTGGTTCAATACTTGATGCGAACTTTTTGCGCTGCGAATTTGCAAAAGTGGAACACCTCGGCGAATTTAGCAGCAAATGCTTGATGACGTCAAATTCGCATTCGTATGAACCAGCCTTAACACCTATATTGTATACATTTTTGTAACTACGAACACGTTATGCATTAACTCTTTGAGCACAAAATTAATTGCACAAAAAAAGACAATAGCTCCTCAGGGTTCATGGAAATGCTTTCAAAACAAAGTTCTGCTGTTGTGAAGTTTACAGTGCATGCCACAATGATGATCACTATCTCCATTATATTTCTCTGATGTTCGGAGTTAACGTTGAGGAAATCCTGAACAGCTAACCTTCATCTGAGTGGCATGCATTAGAGCCCCTTCAACTCATTCATAGGATGATGGATGTTATTAACTGCCTTTTTAAAGAGTAACTAAACTTATATAAACAGCTAAGGACTGCTACACCCCTCCAGCTTCCAAAGGTTCGGAGCATGGACTTCTAACACAAACTCCCCCAGACCTTAACCCCAACCCTGCTAAATGCCACAGAATGCACCAGTAGTAAAAGTTGTTGCAAGTTGTTGCATTTAGCAGTGTCCAGCTCTGCATGCATTCCATGCCTGCATTCCGTTGCATTTGGCAGGGTAGGTACTTGGTACCAAGGCTGGCACTGCATTCTGTTGCATTTGGCAGGGTGCCTAGAGAATACCCAGTGGGGGTTAGGGTTGACAGATAAAGTTGGGAGGACAACTGTAATGGAATCTTGAACGCATTTCCTCTGTGTGTCCCTCGGTCGTCTCCCTCTTGAACTCTCAAGAGTTGTGCAGAAGCACCATCTTCTATTTATGCACGAAGTCCATACAAATGCATTAAGCCAACTGCCCACCTTTCATCAGCTCCTCCCCACAAAAATGCTATTACTTGGCGTTTCTTTCTTTCAGCATGAGATGCGAGATACAGAAAGCAGTTTCGGAGTCCAGCACCAACAAGAAGTTGGACAGGCATTTGTCTTTTGCGTTTTCGGACTTAAGCTAACCAATGGCCAGCAGGAGACATTTCAACAGTGACTGCGCATGCCGAGTTGCTCACTCTTGGCGATGCAGGTAAAGTAAATGATAGACCGACAGTAGAATTAATGTTAAAACGCAAATTATTCTTTGTTGTCCAAGATTGACACGCATGATTGTGACATGGTCCGTGATGAACAAAATTTGACAAGCATATATCTGACAATGTGCTGCGGATGAATCTTTTTTCTGAGGCCATTTCACAACGTGACAGCAGTGCATGAATTAAGTTTCACTATGTTTTTGGCATGAAGGACGCAACTTGCGCGAGAAATTAATGTTTTTTTGTGCAAGAGAACCATCAAAATTAACAGTCTGTTTTGTTTTCTTTAAATGTGCAGCTACATGCCTCGGCGAAACCCATGTTACAGGTCTGTTGTACAGTGGATTGTTGACCCAGTTTGATGGCTTTCCAGTTCATCAACCAAAGAGCTTGTAAGTTTTGCATTTCAAGATAAAAACATGCTGAAAAAAATCACTGATTTGCGTGAAATAAAATATATATATGTAAAAATCTGTTGAGTTTTTATGGCTTGGAGCAAGGATGAGTAATATAGTCTCGTTCGTATGATCTGAAGTGATTATATTTTCTTAAGAAGCTTCTGAGCTCCTGCGAAAACCTCAAATGGGAAAAAGTCTTTTGATTTTGTTACTTTTAATATTAACATCAAGAAATTTCTCTTCAAATTTTGTTGCAGATGCTTCAAGCTGGTAAAAAATGTACATGTCAACTTGGAAACATTTGGCCGCCTTTTCAGAACCCCAGGTATGCATTAATTTGTATCCAAATCTTTTTTTTTTTTTTTTTTTTCAAAGCTTCATTGCTAAACAACCCAAGAAACTTCAATATTTGCCAAAAGAATATCCCTGTCTTTGTTGAATGGAACTTCAGTATGTGCAACATAGTGAAATGCCATGGGCTGCAAGTTATTCCAAGATTACTAAAAATCTTGTGAGGAAAACTGTGTTCCCTTGCTGTCATTGATGAGCCCTCCGACTCGCCCAGTTGGGGGCCCCTAGCGATCAGCTTTGTGCGTCCTTAAGTGCACTCCGTATGGAGGCTTGGGCAAGTCTACTTGGCATGCAAAAATTTACTCGGAGAAAAAGGTCAAACAGAAAGCATATACAAGTTCTTTGTATGGTTGATTTTTGTTTGTTTTGGGGTTAAGAATGTAAAACTCAGGTGAAGAGGCAGCCAAATGATGATGACAATTTACAGACCTGTTCTGAATACTTTGATGAACAGTTTTAATTCATCTGATGTGACTGCCTTACACCTGTTAAAGAGAATCAAAGGGAGATGCATGCATGACCAAAATATCTCGTTTCCCAAAAGAGTCGTGTCAGACTTTGGGAATTAATCAAGTTCCATAAAGGGGGAAAATGCTTTGATATTAAAGAAAGCAGTATTTATTAGCTTGTCTTTCTTGGCTTTGTGGAAACCATTCTAAAACCTACAATGATGGTATGAATCCACGTGTGGCTGCGAAATAGTCGACTTCATACAATTTATGGGTGCTCTCTAATCCGTATTGGTTTGTGTTGAATGCTTTCAGGGCACTGCTATTAAGAGACATTTCAGCAACTGTGTGATCATGGGAGGAAAAGCAAGCTTGGCAGTAAGTAACAATTTCTCGGTAAAGTCAGTCAAACAATATGCCCTTTGAAACTGCTATGTGAAACTCTTGTCCTGAAAATAGTTGATGTAAGTAAATGGATGCAACTGTGATGAAAGAACTACCGCCCCAGTCTGATGTCTGTGACTGACTGGTTTTCTTCTGAGTTGTTGGCAAACCTTGTTGAAGTGGGGATGGCCGGCTGCATGGACGGCCAAAAATGTTCTGTCTCACCTCCTTGCATACTGTGTACAAACCAATGGGGGTCTTGACCAATATTGACCCAAGTAATAACCAGGCTGACAATGCATGTTTCCATAGGAGGGTTAGTAGCACCTATTGACCCTGAGGAAATAGATCACATGACCTTTTGAGGATGCTTACTTGGGCCGCGTTCGAATAAAATTACTTGGCTACGTCTGGAAAAAAACGGGGGTCAGTGGGAAGTCGCTGCAGCCGCTACAATGATGGTATGAATCCACAAGTGGCTACAAACAAGTTGAATTCATACAATCTATGGGGGCTCCCCAATCTTATTGCTTTGTGTTGAATGCTTTCAGGGCACAGAAACATTGCTGCAACGGAGTGATCACAGGTGGAAAAGCAAGCTTAACAGTAAGTAACTTTTTCTCGGTAAAGTCAGTCAACCAATATGCCCTTTGAACATGTCTGCTCCTGTTGTACTAAAAATGGTTTGTGTAAGTTAATGGACGCAACTGTGATGACGAATCACCGCCAAGGTCTGATGTCTGTGACTGACTGGTTTTGTTCTGAGTTGTGTTCAATCCTTTTGAAGTGGGGATGGTCGGCTGCAGTGGGTGAATAGCAACCCCTATTGACCTTGAGGAAATAGATGCCATGATCTTTTGTAGATGCTTACTTGGGCCGCGTCTGGATTACTTAACTGCTGCTGGAAATAACACACATGTCATTTGAAATGGCTGCAGCCGCTTCCATGGGCGTGTGTGTAATTTCCAGTCGTATCCAATTAATTCAGACACGGCCCAAGTGACAGTGTACCCAAAATGAAAAATGCTGTTGTAAAATGTACTCTCAAAGTCGCATCCGACTTGAACTCCATGCTCTATTCAAAATGTCAATTATCCCCCCCAAAAGATGCATGAAGTACTGTAAGCTGAAGTATGTAAGAATGTTTACACTCCAAATTTGAAAGTGCTCATTTTTTTTCTCCGCTAGAAAATAGTTAGCCAAAGCAAATCAAAAGACATTATTTATTGTCAGTTTTGTTCCCAAGCCGTCTGTTAAGTCTGTCACTATTAAATAGGTTCTCTTTCTCCTGTCGCACCTCCACAGATTTCGACAGTGGTGCTGTAGTTGCACATGACACCAAAGGTTAGTTTGCAATATTTACAGAGGGAAAAAAACTACTGCAGAAAGAATATAGTATACCAACGCCACTTCAGCGGTTGTGTTCAAAGTCTGTGGAGATTCTAGACAATTTTCTAAGTATTTCCTAACAAAATTGGAAATGTTTCCGAGTCCAGATTCATGTCTTCAACATTTTTGCAATGGCTGACCTTTATTGAGATGATAATGAAGGAAAAAAGTGGCGTCGGGTTGCAACATTATTTCACAGTAAAATACAACCCTTTATCTTTTGAACTATTTTCTTTGTTTCTAGTTATTCAAATGGGAAACGAAAATTAGAAGCTAGAATTGAATCATTGAGTTTGTCTCTGTAGAGGGTAACAGTGATGAATAACATTACCGCCCCAGTCTGATTGCTGTGACTGATTGGTATGCAAACTGAGTTTCCCATTCTATTTCTCGGTCTCATTTTCCGTGATAAAATAAACCTAGTTTTCATTATTTATAATTTACCTGCAACAATGATTTTTGAATGGATGAAGTGCTGTGTACAACATTTTTGTTGGTATGAACCTTTTCTGTCTGTCGATCAAACTGCGCGCATTGACCAATTAGATCAAGACTTTTGGTCAGGTGACCATGGTAGCTAGGTTACTGGCACTGTTGGAGATGTACTTATACCAACGGTGACGGGCACATGACCAAATCAGGAACAGTCCATTGTACCACTGAAGTGAATCCCCTTGTCTCATTTGTCGTAGATAATGTGGCCTAACAGCGGAGATGGACATCACCATCGATCTTGAGAATAGACTCGTCCAGCGCCTTGAGTACCTAATTGTTGGTAGATACGTGCACTATATAAGACTCCGTTATTATTATATAAGACTCCGTTATTATTATTATGATGACTCAAATCGTCATGCTGATGCCACAAAACACTTGGTTAAGCAGCATCGTCTTAATTTAACCTGCTCAGTCCCTGGTGATCTGCTGTTTTGAGGTCTAGTGTGAAGCTCTGTTGCATTAACCACTTATTTTGAACCGTATATTTGTAATTTTCCATAACATGAACAGTCGTGAGATTTTTCAGACATTTGTCTGAAATCAGACTTTTTGAATCTAAGAGAAAGACAGTGTAGAAAGAGGTACATCTTTCAGACCTTTCATCCAATTGCCAGACTCTTTTTGTTGAAGTTGACTATATCATCTCTTTATTCAAAAAAGAAATAGAATCCACTTCATTTGTATCAAGAAATCTGTCGTATTATTATTTGTTCTATTTGTCTATAGAAAAGGTTTTTAATATATTTTAATAAGTTTGTGAATTGTTTTAATTAAAGAAATTTGAAATGACTTTCTCTGTGTTATATGTTCTTTTTTTTTAGTATTGTGTGATATTAGGAACTGGAAGTGTATGTTCTTGAAATGCAAATTTAGTTTTGAGGGAGATTTCTTTGGGGAGATTAGCTTGGAATACAGTGTACCCAGCTCTGAGCCGAGCTGGGTATAATGTATTCCAAGTTGAAGGGGAATGTACAACATTTGCTTTTGCTGTAATTTTCAGAAATAAATAGATTTGGAGGATTAGTATGTTGCATCCTCTATGGTTATGGCAAATATTGTTAAACTGACTTGTTTCACCATTTGGGATTGTCGATGCTGGAAAAACCAAGAAAACCAATCATGTTCTTGTAGTCTGGTTCCCTGACCCCAATCAAGATGAAACGGAGAAATGTAAAGACTTTGGGAAATTGTAAGATCAAGAAATCACTCTAGCAGGCTTGTACCCCTTCACAGGTGTGAAATCACTTGCAAAAAAATGTGGAATAACTAAATATGAGAAATTAGGAGCGGTTTTTGAAAAAAAGGCCAGTTTCCTCCAAGCTGGTCGGCCGACTAGTGTTGGGGGAGAAAAAATACATATTCGCTTTTTGATGTTTGCAGATGTATCTTCTTTAATAAGGGAAAGGGATTCTGAACAGTTGGAAATTTATTGGAAACTGCAAACTAAAGTTAAGAAATAAGCTTCCAATTGATTACCCTTGGTGTTGAAAATTGTCATTAATTTTATTATGAAGTGCGCCCTCTGCCTACCGGTATTTACAAGTGAACTCAAGAGGGCGCAATCTTCTTCTTTTTCGCGCGAACACTTGACTTAAGTGCATGAAGTGAGTTTGTGTTCCTTCCTCCATGGTTTGGTGAGTCTTTCGTGTTTTTTTAACAGTTAAATTTCATCCAGTATGCCCAGGCTAATATTTAACTGTTTGTGCGTAACAAACCATGTACATGAAGCATTGTCTATTTCGATTAGTTAAGGCTCGTCGGTAACTCTGCGTCTGCATGGACTTTGCGACGATTTTTCTTTCGGGATATTCGCGCCAGAAACCGAATCTTAGAATGTTGCAACTTGCAACCTGCATGACCTGACGTAGCCCCACTAGTGTGGCCGCGGCCCGCGGTATGCTGCAGAGGTTCAGCGCAGCATACCGCGGCCACATGTGTGGGGCTAGACCTGACGCTACTTAGTTCGGTGCAAAAGTATGGAGAGTCAAGACAATTTTCTTAGTCACAAAATTGGAAATGTTTCTTAATCCCAGATTCATGTCTTATCATCATTTTGCAATTAGGCTACATCATACATGTACTGACCTCCATTGGCATTGAGATGATAGGCCTATATGAAGAAAAAAGTAGCGCCAGGTTGCAACATTCTTTCCAATCTTGCAATTTTTCGTGCAATGACGATGGAAAGTTTCATACAAAAGTTTGGACATGTCGAGCGCAATCTGAGTCCCACGCGCAAGTTTAAACCTGCGCGCGCAGGTTTAAACTTGCGCGTTGGACTCGGATTGCGCTCGACAGCCACATTTAATGGAAATGTTGCAATCTGACGCCACTTTTTGCTTCATAATCATATATCATGTCATTCTCAATAGAGGTCAGTCATTGCAAAAATGTTGAATAGACATGAATTTTGGTGTGTTTTTTTGGAAAAAAATATAACCTGACACCACTTTTTTCTTCATCATAGGCCTAGCAAGGCCTATCATCTCAATGAAACTTGAAGGTCATTCATTGCAAAAATGATAAGACATGAATCTGGCACTGAGAAATATTTCCAATTTTGTTAAGAAATACTATGAAAATTGACGCTCCATAGACTTTGTACACAATCACGGAAAACTCGGAAACTTGTGGCGTAAGGTTGCAACATTTTTTCTGGGTTTTTTTTTTTTTTGGTTTCCAGATCTTTTCACTTGTTGTCAACAACAAAACCAAAAATGGAGGATGGTCAACGGAAACCGACAAATCTCCACGATAGAAAGGGAAAAGCCGGTGAACACAAACGATACTACATGGGACGCCGACCAAAACCCAGGGGCAGGCATGCCAGGGTGAAGCAAGTAAAGAAAGCTCCACTCAATGATTTGTCAAACAAAAAAGGTCAGCAAATTTTAGATTTCTCTAATAGAGCCAAATTATGTCTTAGAACATAGAGGAAGGGACACAAACTTTCCTTCATGTACAGAATAAGCCAATTCGACATCTCCTGTGGAGGAAGAATTGTGCCATTTTTTTGTGGGATAGAATTTTTGGATAAACAAACCAACATGATTCTGTAATGCCTTGTGGACTAGGGTGGCATGACGTGCATCGTTTATCCTACAAGTGCATTGCTAAGTCGAGTTGGTACATCCGCAATGAAATATCGATTTGGCTTTAGATCATTGGCGTGCACCACAAAGTGACGGACTGTCTCTGCCAGGTGTCTGTTCAGTCACACGTGCTGTACATTTACATCTTTTTGTAGCAAGGCAACTATAGTATACATGATATATCATTTCATGATATGCAACCGAGAAGATGATAACAGTTGTGATGGCAGAACGGTGAATTCATTCATTTTATTTCTTTGGAACAAGAGTCGGGTGCAAGCAATTGTGGATTTAAAAAATCCACTGTTTTAGACTGAGATTTAAAACCTGATATTTATCATAATTATGATTTTGTTTTGGAACTTTCAGCCAATTACAGCTTCATTTTATCCAGCACTGATTTTTTTGCCTAAATAAGTCCTTTTTGTAACATGCAGCTCCTGATAATGAAGGGAAAATCAATCAATTGCTGGAAAGCTTGGAGGAGATGAATTCGGGAGCCTTGACCATCATGCACAAAATATCTCGGGATCTGGATCAAGAAAAGAAGAAGCTCAGTCAAACTCTCCAAGACAAGGAGGAGGAGACATTATGTCTTGAGGAGGTAATGAAGAAAACTGTTCAGGAAAATGAGCAAGTACTGGAAGAGATCCAGCATTTAAAAGCTGAAAATGTCAAGCTGAAGCAGCGACTCAAACCTTACTAGCAGATCTGAACCAGTCGGACGACTCCGATCCACTCACCGATAACGAAGCCCAGGTCCCTGTCAACCCTACAGAGGATTCCAACTCACTTGCTGCTGCAGAATGCACCAAAGATTTAATTGAGGTAAAGCTTTATGAAAAATTCATGTTTTTTCTTTCTTTCTTTTTGCATGGCGAAGATTTATTTAAATGCTGAATAGTTATCTACAAACATTGATATCCTAATTTTTTTTATTAATTAATTTATGCTTTAGACCAGGGGCCAATTGCACGGCGCTGCTAAGCACAAAAATTTGCTTAGCACAAAAAGTCTGGTTTATAAAAGCAGGTTACCAGCCAAAACTCCATGTGATTTTCATGCTAAGCAAACAACAGCTGAATACTGATCACGAGCAATATACATTACGTGGAGTTTTGGCTGGTTACCTGCTTTTATAAGCCAGACTATTTTTGTGCTAAGCAAATTTTTGTGCTAAGCAGCGCCGTGAAATTGGGCCCTGTTTTAGTAAATACTGTCCAAAGAAATTCTTTCGAATTTACATTTCAAAAAATGTACAATTTCTTCCAGCGTGTGTACAATACAACTTTTTCAGCAGACAAGTTTTATTTGTGTGAATTACAGATGATCCAATTTGTCGCTTCCAATGATGATGATTCACAAGACTCTGTCAACGCTGTGGCATCGTTTATGCGGAAGTATCCAGCTATGTCATCGGAGGCACTGCGCCGAGCTGGCTTCGCAGCGTGGTGAGGTAATGCTAAATGATCATTGTTAAAATTGACTTGAACTCACTATTTGTTGACAAACACCCGGGTTCCAGAGTCCTCTGCAACAAAATTATTCTGAAGATTTGAATTCCATATGTGAAAGAATTCGATGTTTGAAACAAGAGTGACTGCGTCAATAGATTGACTGTTAAAGAATCTGATCGATGGAAGATATACACTGAGTTCTCCGATTTGAAACCAAAATATATTAAGGTCACCTAGAGTTGCTATTAAAATGCAATTCTGGAACACCGGTCTAGAACTCTCGTTAATTGTTTTTCTTTTGTAAATGTATTCTTTGGTTTCATGTTTTATGGTCAGCTCAGCGAATGAGCCTGAAAATGCATTTTTCAAATCTTATGCTGTATCCATCATCTAGTAGTGGTCAACAAGATTACAGAATAGGGTTTTGGATCGTTTCTTTGAATTTTTTTTTCATGGTTAGTTGGCTCTGTCACGGACATTACACTTCCTTTCATAATGCTGGAATTTACCTTATCTTCTTTACATTGTAGACATCAGCAAAGACGGAATGCCGGACTATTAACAAGGACTGAAGTATTCAACTGCAACAGAGACTCATTGTAGACGCTGTGCACCTTCCACGCCGATTTTAATTGAAATGAGTGCAGCAATAGCTCTTCTACAGCACGGCAGTTGCTCTAAATGCCGAACGTGATAGTCGCACTGCATCTGGGGTAATGGGCCAGGTTAAAGCAATTCAAGCAGTTCAATGGACTTTCAGCACGATCAAACCAATCGGGCTTAACAGTCCTTCTGTTTTGAGGTGTGCGATCACACCCCCACGCCATCACACGCCTAAATGCTTCCTGAGAAGTGGGAATAATCACACGCCTGAATCCCTCAGTACCGCACACCTTGGCATACATATACGGCATAATTATACTTCATAATTTGTGAAAAATAAAGTACGTCGGTGAAGAGAATATGGCTTTATTGTAAACCAAGATGAATATTTTGAAAAACAATATATTGTTCAGCCCCAGCTTGGACCACAGAATCACACACCTAGAAAAATCACACGCTTACAAAAACCCAGGTGTGCATTTTCTACACACCTGTGATTTTTCAAATCAGAAGGACTGGCTAATTACACTCCCCGTGATGTGGATGCAAGAGAGGGTATCGTGAGCATGTGCATTCCTAAAATGTTTGCCCCAACTTAGAATTGAATTGAGTTCAGCACGGTAATGGCACGGCGTTTAGAACAGTGCCGAGCCACTAGTACTGCCATTCTGAACGACGATAGTGCGGCTGCCCTGTCGCCCTTAAAGGATGGTGCTGTGCTAAACTCAATTCGCCGAGCCAAATGATTCTAAACGCCGTGCTACCGCTGCGCCATCGCTGTGCCGAATTCAAAAAGTCAAGTTAATTGGGTTCGGCACTGCAGTAGCTCAGCGTATAGAACGGGCCTACGGAATCGCACATCTGCATGACATTGATATGTCTTGCACCGGAGACTTGTTATCTCAGACAATTTTTAACAACACAAAGAAGGAAAAAGTCAAACCAACTTATATGGGCATTACTGCTATAAAGATTCCTAATTCCCAAAAGATCAAAAACAAGAAGATTGTAATTTGTTTGATTTTTTCCTTTCTTTCTTTCTTCTGTTTTTTAACATGCATGCGACTTTTCCTTGGATCGACTGATTCCTCATTGTTCACCTCACCCTTACGCCATTAGAAATTGAAAAACACTTGTATAAAGTCTTGCAAATCTTGGAATTTCTTCATATTTTTTGGTTACTTCCCAGCTTCCTGCCTGTACAGTCGACTCTCGTTATTACAAACTTCTGGTTATAACAAACATAAAGCCTTGGTCCCGACTGTGCATTTATATGCACAATGAATGGGACTAATGTTCCTCTTAAAACAAAATTCTGATATAACAAACAATTTGGCTAGGTCCGAACGAGTTTGTTATAACGAGACTCGACTGTATTTGGAAATAAAATCATTTGTACCATTCATTCCACCAGTGGAGTTTACAATACACTGTACCAAGACTTGGTTTTGTAAAATCTTGATACCTCACAAATAAATGACCAACACTTGCAGTATTTTGTTTAATTTCCTACACAGTCTTGTGTAGACTTGCTTGCATACCCAAACCTTATCTATTTTGTATGTTTGTCTTATATTTTTCTGCCCGTTTTGTTTAGTACGTAACATAAAATATTACTTGTAGAAGGATACATGTTTATGTAATCTAAATAGTTTTAATTATTCTAGAAGTAAATTTCATAATTAGCCCGTATCTTTTAAAAAATTTTCCATGTTTTTATCTTGTCATATGACATCGATTTTTATTTGAAATTTATGATTATCACTTTTTTAGTAAATAAATTTATGAAGTGAAATTTCTGTTTGATTTGCATTATTTGTTTTTAATGTAGCAAAGTGAAGGAATGAATTATATTTTCTGGTGTCGCGATCCAGTTGAGTGACGAGAAACCTTTCAAGATTAGTCCATAGATAAGATTGCAATCATAAACTCTAAAATACCATCAGGTTTTAAGTAAGATTTGAGGCTTTGCATGGTGGAGATACATGTACTAATGAATGAAAGGTTTTCGGAAACACCATGTGGGAATTATTTCTCTAACTAAGAGAATGGTTTTGAAAAGAACCAGAGGTATAAACTCCAAAACAGAGTAACCTCAAGTTATTTTCAGAACCATTCTCCGAGTTTGAGAAATTATTTCCACATGGTGTTTCTGCAAACCTTTCATTCGTTCATAAGGTTTTTAGCCCCAAAGAATTTTTTATTGTTTGTTTGTTCTCATTATTGATAGTCAAGGCTTTTTTAAGGGTGTCCGCTTTTTCATTTGCCTCTCGACAATTAACATAAGTTTACTATTAAAGTTCTGCCTGAATACATGATGTTTGTCCATGTTGATTAAAAGTGAATTCGAGCAGAATTTGTGTACCGTTTATACTCAAGTGCGCCCTCTATATCGGCCACGTGTGCCGTGCCGAATAAAATAATGGAGGGCGCCCTTTCACTTTAACAAGGCGACCGGTCACGAAACCGCGGTTATGTGGTACATGGTACACTCTGTGGTTTAGCATGCAGCGCCGGTGTCGTTTGTTTTACATCATCTCTGCGTCTTATTACACATGTCTTACCTCCAAATAGTCCACGTTTAATTGACATGATTGACGGCTGTTAAAGGCAACTCAGAGGCAAACATATAAGGGTTATAATTGTTATTAAGATGTGTAAGTATCTAAGTAATATTTCATTTCCAGTTCAATTTGGCAGTGTTGTTTGGACCATGTTAATGATGTTGCACAAGGAAATGCGAGTTTGGGAGGTATTAAAAACTCTGTATACCATGGTATACTTGAGGCAAAGTCAAGGGTAATTTTCAGCACTCCAGACTCCAACCGGTCTTAAACAGAGTGTTTAATACCGACCAAACATATTTATTCCCATTCAATCATAAATACCTTTTCGGTTAAAAAAAAAAAATTCGGTCCAAAAATCAAAACAAGTCAAACTCAAAAACTAGACGTTGCCAACCATTTTGTTCAACAACTTTACTTTGTGTTTTATGAAATACCCCTCTGACTATAATATGGAATGTCCCTGTACAACTCCTTTAATTGGCTTTAAGTTACAACTTATAAGGAGATTGGCGTGTGCGTTGCACACACGCAATGCGCGATGTCGCACAAAACTAGGGAGGTCGGCGTTACGGGGTCGATCTTCATTTGTATCTATTTGCGTGCGAAAGTGTGTTTCAAACTGGCGCAGTTTAACCTTTTTTTGAAACTGGAACAGTTTCTCTGATGAGATGATTACAGAGAGAAATGATGGATCTTTCCAATTATATATTTGTTTTGGATGATTGCCATATTCGAAATCGTGAAATCTGGTGTTGAAAACGATGTTTATTTCTGGGAAGTTGTGATCGCAGTCGCCCTGGGAGCGGCCATCTTGTTTTTAGCTCGTGACATTCACTCACGTTTTATGGCGAGATTTGCCGAGATTTCGTCGGACAAAAATAGAAATGACATCATAGTAAAGCCAAAGAAAATCTCTTTCGACTCATACCAAGAAGAGGTACGCTCAATTTTTTTTGTCTTCCGATTTTGGAGATTTTTTCACGACGAAATAAAGGTACAGATTGTCATGATTTTTGGGCCGAAAAATCGTTAAAAATCTCACATGATGAGTTCATGAAAGACTAAAAAAGGGGTAGTTTCTGAAAGGGTGGAATTTCAGGAGTTTGTGTGACTAGTTTTTTTGTTATGTTTCCCATGACGCTTTTTGACGCTGGGGGGTTTTGTTGTCGGGGTGCCTTCAGCAAGGTGATTAAAATATGGCGCACGGCGGTGTCACAATGGCTGCCTATTTCTTCCTCCATGCTTTATGCATGCATGAAGCAATAATATTTCAATGCTGTGATTACTGGGGTAAATTTTGGTGGATTGCTTTATTGGGGAAATTTACATTGAACAAATATACAATTCTGCTAAAAAAATTAATTTAGTAATATTTCGACTGTTTCTGAATATTTTCCAAACTTGAACTAGCCTAAATTTGCACTAAACATGTTAAAATTAGCTTATTTTTGTCTTTGCTTTTTTTTGCCCTAGGCTTCTAGTTCCTGATAATGTTTAGTCCAAAGTCTAACCAGACTGTTCTGAGTACAATGTATAATGAAGAACAAGATTCAATGGTTTTTTTTTTAATTATTCTTGAATATACATCTCTGCATAAGGCCAAAAAAAGGGGACAAAATAAGTATAAAGTTAATTCCCACTGGAACCTACATATTGGAGAAATGTTGTCTGTCATCAAATACTTCCATACTTTAAAGATATACTTTTGCTAAGTTAAAAACCCTTTTTTTTTGACCGTATAATACTTTCAACACACAGTTGGGTGAATGTTAATGCAAGGTTTCCATGCATTTCTATTTGAGGTCCCTGGATTGGCCATCCTGGTTCAAATCAACCTCAAATATGACAGCTCCGAGGAAATTTACACATACCAGCTATTAAAGGACTAGCATAAAGAGGACCTGAGAATACAAATTTAAAATAATATGATCTCATATAAATGAACTTGAAAATGTTTTCCAAACCTTTCTCAAATATTTTGAGGTGATTTGGATTTTTCTTTTTAATTTTACACCCCGCACCATGCCGACAGAATAATTAGGGTTGGACATGCCCCTTTAATGGACCATAACTTCACCATACTTTAAGATATAAAGTTATAATTGGTACCATTAGATTTCTTTTTGGAAGCTCTTTCCAATGATACCAAGTTTGTAATATTTCGACCAAAAAACCCCAAAAGTGCCGACCACCCTAACAAAACATAGCTGGGCTGGTGCAGTGTGTATTTCGAACTATGAAATACGGAAAAAATGTGGCCGCCTGATGCCACTTTTTTATTCATATATCATCTCAATGGAGGCTATTGCAGAAATGATGATAAGACATGAAGCTGGGACTTGCGTACGGGTTTTAAACGCCTGGCTTACACACATGCCAGCACAGTGGCCTTTGTCCGCTACCATCTGTGTGGGCGAACGCAGCACATTCCCCGCATACAAGCACGGCTCATACGCATCTACATCTACGCGGGTACTCGGCAAAGTCCACTTCTGGATGTTAATGCTGAGGTGAAGTTTAAGGTGCATGTGAAGCAGGGGGAAGTTCGTGCAGAAGAAAAATTTAAGTGCGAGTAAAAGAAAGTTCCAATCTTGGAGCTACTTGGCAGAGATGCATACCAGTGGGGATTAGTGGAAAGCGGGTTTGCTCCCTGGCTTCAAGGGGTTAATGAAATTCCTCCCAACATCCTCCTCCTGTTTTGTCTTTCAGCTGCTGCTCCGGTCAAAGTGCCCCGCAATTTCCAGCTTCTGGCGGAACTTGAGGAAGGTCAGAAGGGTGGAGACATTGCCGTCAGCTGGGGTCTGGAGTACGATAACGACATCACCCTCACATACTGGAACGGAACGATCCTTGGCCCACCGCAGGTAATCTCAGACTCGGACCTCAAGTTGGGGAGTCGTTGTTGTATGCCCCAACTATCACATCGTCCCAACTGAAGTTTGGACATTCCAGGCGCTAGTTGATATGGTCTCAACGTATTGTTGGAATCATCTCAACAATAGTTGGGGAATTTGCTTTAACCCTAACCCTGCCAGACGCATCACAGTGCATCAGGTGGCAAAGAACTGGTGCACTTTGATGCATTCAGCTACCACTACCAGTGCATGAATGGCCAGCTCTGAAACAATAAAAGCTAAGTCCCATTGAACAATGCCACAGTTGTATCCTGCTGTGTGCGGTGACCACAAACTCTGAGGCAGTGTGGCCTTGAGACTTTTCCCCTGATGGATCTTGCTACATTTGGCAGGCTTGTCACTTAGACAAGTGGTGCATGTTGCTACGTTTGGCAGGGTTCTAGCAAACATACCCTGGAAGGTTAGGGAGTTTCAAGTCGCCACAAATCAAAAACGATTTACCCAGTCTCAAGTCATTTACAATGCTGTTCATGTGAACCACGTCAAAGGTGTTAACTTTGTCATTGTTCGTCTTCTGTTAAGGAAGACCCGACTTGCTGTTACCTGTAAAGGTCAGGTCAGAGTCCATACAACATAATTCAAACTCAGTCAAAGGCATTCCTGTCTTATTGATCGTGGAACGCTGCCGTCCAATGATTACGGTGTTCGACTCGCGTGCCGTGGAATGTGGGTTCAAACCCTGACGGGGAACACGGTGCTTGTGTTCTTGGGCAAGGCACTTTACTACAGTTGCCTCTCTCCACCCAGGAGTATAGATGGGTACCTGTGAAGGTAGAGACTAGATATCTTAAGCTGCTGCAAAATCTGGTCTCATGGCCCGATGAACAGGGGTAATAATTGTAAAGCGCTTTGAGACCGTTGGTAAAAAATATAAGCACATATATTATATATTTTTTGATTTTAGTGTTCATCCCCTACCTGTGACAAACCCCTGCATTGACTTGTAATGTACTCTTGAGCGGACTTTGTTTGCAATAGACCTTTATCATGCTGCCACCATTCCAGTCATGTTCCCTGTTTCCAATAACAGTACAGAATGATAATTTTGGGGGGCAAAAAGGAACCAGACTATTTTTCCTTCCAGCCTCGCTTTGGCTACATTGATTTGAATGGGAAAAATCAAGATGGCCGCAACATGATACTGGTCTATAGACTCAACTACTGGTACAGTCCTGCTAGAGGTTGCTTATAGGGATGCCATTTCTCAGGCTACAACCTGAATGCAGGCTTTTTCATGTTTTAAAAAAATGAACTCCGGCATTCCATCCCTTCACAGACAGGAATAATAAATCCTCGTGTAGCATTCACAGAGAAAACAATTGTGCATGCGATGCTCCATAGCAATCGCCATGCTAGCTCAGTAGGAATTGTAAATTCAATGTAGACAAACATGTGTACATGGGTGCGGTATAGTGATCTGATACACCGTGCCCTCTGGAGACATGCACACAATAGGGGGACAAAAGATTGTATACGTCTCCACAGGGCAATTTCTATAGATGAATACGTCTCCACAAGGTTTTAACGAAATACATATATGGATTTTACTCAAAAACTAGGAATTTCCAAGGTGGGTTGATCTGTTGCAAATGAAATAGTTTTAGAAAAGGGATATTAAGTCCGAATTTCAGCCAAGGAATTAATTCTGGTTAAAATAAGAGCATTTTAAAAGAGTACTTTCAAACTCGAAAACTTTAGTACACGAGAACAAAGAAATGTCTCCACAAGGATACAAATTTCAGTATGGGTGTGTTTATGGTGTATTGCTATCGCTTTGGCATGCGTGCCTCAATCCTTCAAAATCCTTTCACGTTTTTTTAGGCCCTGGAGCAGAAACCCACTGGCATCACTGTTAAAAAACAGGAACGAGTCTCCTTACAATGGCAATAAAAAGTTTGGAGGTGATGTGGATTCAGACATGGAAGTGTGTGTCATGGAGTAACCGTAACTCTCCTCAATCCTCCAAAATTCCCCAGGAGGTTTTGGAGGATTTCGGAGATTTGAGGCTGAATGGAGGATGCATTGTGTCTGGCGCATAGGCTGTACCCTGTATTCTTTATGTTCAACCAATTCATAATTGAGCCCTGCTTTATGCTCAATATCATCCGCACTGCTTTTGAATGTCACCGGCGCTGCCTCAACCCATTAACAGTGATTGTTGGAGGATTTTGAAGGATTGAGGCAATGGTCACCCCTCCACTGAACAAATGGAAGAAATAACAGATGAATTTAGAGGATTGAGGCTGAATCCAATTATTACAATTGGAGGATTTTGCAGGATTGAGGATTCCTAGCCAAAACGGCCTAGGTATTAGGGTAAAGCTTGCAAAAGCAACGTTGCATTTTTCATGTAGCTATATTGTCAGTGAACTGTTTTCTCACAAATGTTTCTCCAGCAATTCCATTTAGACTGTAACTGTGTTGTGTTGCTTCCCTCGCAGACTCACTTTGAGGACCGCATCTACACTCTCAAGTTGAAGTGTGACAATCACTACCCCGTTAAGGCGCCCACGGTACGCTTTGTCACCAGGATAAACCTGCCTCACGTCAACGATCGAGATGGCACGGTAAATAATAGCTGTAGTTGTTTTTGTATTTTTTAACAAACGGTTGTTTTGTTGTTGTTTTTTTTATTGAAGAAACAACTTATTTGTACTTTGTACACAAAATACAATAAGTGGTGGGAAAAAATACCCTCCTTTTATCTGAAAAGTCACAGACAGTCAAAAATATCAATCCACTTCCCCTGCCATGCCTTTTACACAGACTAGTCGCCAACGGTCAGATCATAATTCAAGCAAGCACTGTGACTAGTCAAATTCAGTCAACACACAAAAGCAGGCAAGTGGTTGGCACAGCAGCCTTATCAGTTACCTACAGTCAAAGTATAGCTGTATCAAGTTACATAAACAGCCAAAGCCAGTCAATCCTGCTTCATGTAGGATGGGAGCTCTTAACTGTAGAAACAATCCTTTGACTGATTTTTACTACAAGGACAACTTGGTGCAGAACGTATGTTTGCATAGGAGGGTTAAGCAGAGAATTTCCCTGGTATGCGTTGACTTATGTGTGATAATGAGGCGTGGAAACCAGTGATGTAAAAGCTCTCATTTTTAGATACGTGCCCTATCTTCTTACAATGTTGAGAATCTAATGACTAATAACCAACTCTTTGGTTCCTTTTTTTTTTTTTAGATTGACCTGGTAAAATTGAAGAAAGAAATTGACTTGAGCAGGGTATGAACCTGTGACCTCCGGATTGCCATTTCGGTGCTCTACCAACAATCCAGCCCCATGTTGGTGATTCCCCAGTTGGAAGAGCACAGGAACGGTAATCCAGAGGTCGCAGGTTCGAACTCCGTTCCAGTCAATTTTATTGTCCAACTTAGGTGTATTATTAGAATACACCTAGTCGGTGTCCCTTTGTGGTTTATTTGAAAGTTCCTTTGCTTTCTTTGGAATGATACTTGCAGCTAGAGAAGACGTTTCCCATGCTTCAACAATGGAAGATGACGTACACCATCAAGGAATTACTGAGCGGCATCCGTAGCTGGATGGCTCGCAACAATAAAGTACGTCAGCCTCCAGAGGGGGCTACATTTTGATCCACAGTCCCCCACCAACCCCCACCTTTAACCTCTCCTTCCACTTGTGACAGCATGTGAGTTGAATTTTAACTTTTTTTGTGTTGGGTCATGGATTGGCTGTGAGCATTTCCAAAAACGTAGAGGCTGTGGCAAAATATCATGAGCCACTATCATAAAAAATGCAAATCTTTCAGTTACGTGAGGGCGCTTAACTTCCATATTCTGTGGTGCAACTGGCTTTGAACGAGGCACTATGTACTCTAGAGAAACCTATGTAGACACTCGGAGTGTGTTGCATGACCATAGTATACTAGCCAATTGCATGCAAGGGTTCACTTTGGAGTGTTCAAAACGTGGAAATGTACCCTCACTTGAGCCTCATGAGTAGACTGGTTCCCGGTCCCACAATTGTCCTTTGGACTTCGAATGTAGGGACCGGTATCGGGTAAAAGATTAGGAATACATTAGGAGGATTTCCTCCTAATGTATGCAAATTATATGCGGGGCTAGGAAAATATACCCATAATGCAACTAGGTCTGATTCCCAGCCCCTAAGTACAAAATCACAACGATAAAGGAAGCGCGGAACCATCCTATTGCAAAAGAGCAACAAGGTTACCACTAATGGGCAATTGTGGGATGATGAGTTTCGATTTTCGCTGAGTGTCTCAGGCAACTATCAATTTAGAGCCGGCGCTGCTTTGCAGTATTTGAAACCTATGCAGTTGAAATGTTTCAAATATACTTTCGTGCAAACCCTGTGGTAATTTTGCCTACTGGTTATGCTAAGAGTCATTGTTTTTATAGCCATGTGTTCAACTGTAATCCATACGCAAAGCTGTAAACATCATTTTTAATAATTAAAAAAATCACACTGCGCATGCGCTCAGGCAGTCAAGTCAATGGCTTTAACTAGGAACTAGCTACCGGTCCCTATATTAAAGGAGTGGGAACCAGTCTGCATCCGAATCGTGAGCTGATCAAATGTCGCCCTCTGCAGTCTATAACCATCCTCAATGCTATGAAAAGTGCTTGCTTAAAGGAACGTACATTGTAACGTAATTTCAAAGAACACTTATTAAGTTTCTCATTTTATAGCCAACTTAATCTGTGTGTGTGTCTGGAAGTCATTGTGTTTTTAATTGAATTTTGATTCCAAACTTTAGGCCAAAAAAAAAAGTCTCCGGTTTCTGGTATGGAGCTTGCCCCACAAGTGGTGCGGCGACGCAGCTTTTTTAAAACAAAAATTATTTTTTTTTCGTCAAATGTCGGCTGATGACTGCAAACGGTGCCAGACTAAATTTAGTGCAAAATATATGGGAGTCCAGAGAGGTCACATAAAGCTTATATTCGGCCGTAACCCCATCTAAAAACACGTTAAAATTGTGCAGCAGCAGGATTCCAGTCAAACCAGTGAGTTTGGCGGTTTTGAGACATCATCTTACATTGAAAAAAAAACTTTTTCATTTTGCCGACGCACATGGCTACGGCGACGCGCGCGCAGACCAGAAACCGGAGACCTTTTTTTTGGCCTTAGATACAGTCCGTGGCCATTGAGGTGAAAAGTGGTGTTTCTCTTTGCAAGTGTATAAAAAGTCATTGTAAATACCTTGAAGGAGTTTTTTCCCCAACATAAAAAAAATATTTCCCTTTTTTTTGTTCTTCTTTTTTTGTGGCTAACTTATTTTTGTGTATCTTTCCTCAGATAACTTTTACACTTTTGAATAGTGAGACGTTTTTAAAGTAGTTTCTACGACACAGCTTATTGTGAGCATTTGCAGTCGTTGAGAAAATACTTATCTCCAACATACACGTCATCCATCCATATTGTAGATAACCTCTTGCTGAAAGTATAGCTTGCACATACATTGCGAAAAGGCTGAACGGACCTTGTTTTTGGCAATTTATATTCAGGAAATAATTTGATCATATTGTTTTGTTTTTAAAAATGAGCAATATATGCTCTGTGTATTAAGCCGTCGATCAGTAAGTATAATGTTAATGTGTAAGAGCTTTTTTTCATGAATTATCTTTTAAAATTTCAAAAACAAAAATTCTGCTAAAAATCTGTTCAATTTCAATAATTGACATTTACTGACTGGGCCTAAAGGCCGAATCCGTGATATAATGCTGTTGTTGAATGTGAAAATATTAACAATTTGGTCAAAATCCACTTCTTTGAAGGGTCACAATTATTTAAGGGATCTCGGTCTTGAATTGGAAGGGATGTTTTCTGAAAACTTAAAAAAAAAAGATTGCACAGGGTTGTTGCTGTAGTAACATGTTTTGTTGTGAATTATATTTTTGTCTTTTGTGAAAGTTGAAACTTTTCAAACACTCTCACACGCTGTCCATGGGTGGGTGGCCATTATGGGTGCAGACCAGTAAATAGGCCCAAAAGTGCCTACGCCAGTCAAATCACAATTTGCATGCCCTGAAATTCTCCGGTATTAGAGCATTTTGAGGGTTGCGAACTTGAGGATTTGTAAAAAAAGAAAAAAAAGAATGGAAGACGTGCAGAGGACTGCGAGCTCTTATTTCTGTGAAATTTCGATGAAATTAGGCCCTACAATTGCTCTATTTTGCAATGGAGCATAGAGGCATCCTTTTTCAAAATGGCAATGGGCTTCAGGACTACTTTTAGGGGTGATCATCTTTGGATGGAATTTTCTCTCAAAAGTCATTGGTTAACCCCAAAACAATTGAACAGAAAATGAAAGATGATGAAATAAGTTTTACTTTAATGCGTCTCAAACACCTTGGAGAGTTGCGGGTATTTTTAATAATTGTGGGATGTGCGCGTAATTATCACTGAAGTCTATGGCAGTCTATTTACTGGTCTGCAACCTTATAGGCATCCTAAGCACAGATCCAGGAGGTTTATCCACCAGTGTTTGTCAAACCTTGTCTCCAGTTTGACTCTGGTTACAGTTCCATTGCAAAACTGCATACCTGGAGCCGAAGTGGAAATGATGCCAGGATTTGAGAAACAGTCATCACTTGCAAAGTTTTGTTATCACGTTTTATACTGTAGATCAGCCTTATTGAATTCTGATATTAAGAATACAAATGATGGACACAAACAAACAAATAAGATTGGAAGACACTCTGGAGATTAACCGAAACAAAAAACAATATTCCAATGAATATTCTTTACAAACACCATGTTGTACAGGGTGAGTAAAAAACCCGAAACCCAAATGTTGGGACCATTGCTTTAGGGAAGTTCTGCATGTAGCATTTTCAAAATGTAGGATATGAAAGCCCAATTCTTAAGCTTTCTTTTAGTACAAGAATCATTCAAATCACTCATGTACTTTTCATGTTACAGAATTTTAAATACAACCACCGTTTTAAGGTTCTGTCCACGGATCACAAAAAAAGTTCAGTGTTCTTTCAACAAAACAAAAAGAAATCACATAGGGATGTGCGTGAATTGTTTTCATTTTGCTGAAAGAACGCACACCTTTTTTTGTGATCCGTGGACAAAACCTTAAAACGGTGGTTGTGTACATGAGTGATTTGAATGATTTTTGTACTAAAAAAAGCTTATGAATTGGGCTTTCATATCCTAGATTTTAAAATGTGGGTTTCGTTTATTTTTACTCACCCAGTATTGTGAAATTTGTTTTATGGAGACTTTTGATTGTTTGGGGACACTTCATTAAAGCAAGTAGGCCGTATTATTATAAAAAAAATTATTTATAATCAAACTTATTATCAGTAGAAACCTTAGTTGGTAGAAGTCACAAAATGTGTTTTGTGTTTTTAAATGTGCATTTGTCAAAAAACAGTACATGCACATCATGTGTTTGTTTAGAAGACATACATGTAAATGTCCGACTTATTTGAGTTTGATGACTGGCAGTTACAGTATTCTAATTTAGATATTAGCGAATTTTGGTTACTCGAACGACAAATTAAAAGTATTTTCTTGGATGAAATTTGATTTGTCGTAGTGCGAGGAAATGTTGGAAATGTTAATGCTGAACCAATCAGAAGTTGGCATTTTGCCAATGGGGGAGGGGCCTGGGGGATTGTAAATACAGCATTATGATTACTAAACAAAACAGAATATTGTCAAAATAAATCGTTTTTAGTTTTAAAGTTGGTGTATTCGTGTACTACATTAGTTACGAGCTTTCCAATGAGACATCACACGCAAACAAATCAGTACAAGAGATTGGTGATAAGATTTTTCATTTACAGTCAGAGTATGTCATGGGAAAGATATTTGGCCACAGGGCCATCACATATTTGTCCTTTGAAAAAAATGTCATTGGATAACATGCAATGGCCGACATTTGGAAATTGCTATGATATTTTTTTTTTCAAACTACAAATCTTCGATGGCCCTTTAACCAAATATCTTTTTCATGAAATACTCTTGACTGCGAGCCAAATGAACAGTTCCATTATATTGTGCACCAATCTGCTTTAGTGAATCGGCCGACAACAACTGATAAATTAATTAATTTCAACTTTTGAATTAAGAGTGGGACGCTCTTAATTCGTTCCAAATAGCGTGTGCAATTTCTGAACTGGAATGCGCCATTTCAAACCCCTTTTTGAAATGCATAAAGGCCTGCAAAAACAAACAAGCATATGTATTTGTTACAGGAAATTATATTCCATTAAATTTTGCTCGGAAAAGAAAATCGAAATTTGAAAAAGCACGTATATACCAACTTTAATATCAGTTTTATTTGGCTATAGGTCTCTTTTGTATCACTAGTTTACAAAATATATACATGTAAGTACACCAATTTAACCATCAAAAAAAGCATTTCAAAATGACAAATTTTACCTAACATATTTTTGTGTTTTTTTTCCCAATAAATAAGCAACACTACAAAAAAATACTTGGAATTTACTCCGGAAAGTACCCTTTCTAAAAATCTTTGAAAGCAAAATTGTTTGATTATTTCGAATACAGACTCAAAACAATTTTAATTAATTTCGGAATAAACAGCTGTAGTTTATAAAGGTCATAAAACACCGTTGTGAATAAAAAGAAACTATTTGAAAACGCCTTTTCATGTTGCGTTTGCTTTAAGCGAATAAAAACTTAACTTTGGAGGATAATCTTTCACCAAGAATAATTACAGAATAATTTCAGTTGTATTATTTTAGCTTCAACAATAAAAATTAGAACAAGACGTTACGTAATACATACATAAAATATACCTCATCAAAACTTTAAAATACATGCAATATAAATTATATACCAAGTACTTTCTGTGACATGAAAGTGATTAAAATACTGTGCGTTAAAACATTGCAAACTAGAAAGCACTCGGAAAGCGCAAACCTTCGCCAAGGCTAAACCATTCCCGCCACATAATTATGTCAGTACACCCAAAAGACTAGCATAAATGGTGAAGAAAAATAGCATAAATGGTTAAAAAAAAAAATCCTGGATCCAGACCAAGATCCGGATCACTTCCGAAAATCTAATCGATTTCCAAAAAAATTTCATGCAAATCCGTCAATAACTTTTTTATTTAACAGACAAACCAACCAACCAACCAATCAACAAATCCAATGAAAACATAACCTCCCTGGCGGAGGTAATAAATGGGTCAAACTAGCTTTGATCAATTAAAAAAAAATAGGATTATTTAATTATAGACCCTTGGCACCTGACACCACATTGATGGAAAATCTTTCTTCTTCTTTGATGCACATGGGTAGACAAAATACTCTCATTGTCACATTTAACTGACAAAAGTCAGTGAAGGCACACTGTGCAGCGGGTTCCATCATAGTGCCCGAGTATTGTTTTATACAATTTGTTAGCCCATGATTAATTGGACTAAATTCTTCTTGATTGGCGTATACGTCCGCGTTAGTGAACTTGCAGAGTTCTACTTCCTTAATGCTTCCTTGAATGTTACAAAGTAAAATCGTCAATTAATTGAGCAGGATTGTTTCAGGTTTTTTGTCATCTCCTCTAGATTCTATTGGATCCCTATTATGTACATACATATTTGCAAAATCACATAGGATCAGTTAAGGAGAATACACAAGAAAGTGTGGATTCGTAATTTAAGAATTCAAGAGGTGCGAAGCGCCGAGTGAATTCGTAAAATAAGAATCCACACTTGCGAGTGTATTCTTCGACTTAAACCATTGCGTCAAAAGAAGTATTGGCATTAATTTAACAGTGAGTGGAAATGAAAAGACTTGGGATAAATGTTGCAACCTGACGCCACTTCCGCGATTGTGTACAAAGTCTATGGAGAGTCAAGAATTTTTTTTAAAGTATTTTCTAACAAAATTGGAAATATTTCTCAGTCCCAGATTCATGTCTTATCATTTTTGCAATGAATGCCCTTCATTGAGAAGATATATGGAGAAAAATAGTGGCGTCAGGTTGCAACATTTGTCCCGGCTCCTTCCGTCGACAAATTGATAGTTAAGAGGATGATTTCTTTCTACTCAAAGTAGGTTTTGCAGTGATGGCAGAGAATCTAACAGTGAAGATGCATTGATAATTTCGGAAGGAAATTTTCACGCATACGGTCCTATTAATGTTCATTATGGAGAACAATTGTCCGACATGTTCAAAGTGTGGATTCGTAATTCCGAATCCACACTTTACTAAAGATTCTTCGTTCCGAATCCACACTTTGTGACCAGCGTAACAGATTCGTAGTTCCGAATCCACACTTTTAACAATAGTGTGACGTCATAGCAATGGTTTAATCTAAGGGATCCTATAGTATCACCTAAAGGATCCTTTAGGATTTGAGGAAAACCCTGCAAGTATAAGAAACCTTAAGGATGTTGCAGGTTTTTTCTTATAGAATTTCTGAGAAAGAATCAGTTTTGGGTACAATTTATCTGAGCAAAAGGAGCAAGACTGTAATTTTCAAAACAAAGACTCTTTGGTGTCATTGCTTTGTAGGTTCCTAAGGTACTAGGTAAGAACGTATAGTATGCGTAGGACCCATAGCCTTAGTAAATATAATAGTCACGCCCTGCTGGGGAAAGTTCATCGAGAGCGTATAGATTAGATTGAGGGGACCCTAGCCGTCGCTCGTAGGTTGCTTCTGGGTAGGCATCGGCGTAGGCGTAGGCGTATTCCTGGTCGTTGAATACAGGCTCGCGTGCGGGGCTGACGTAATCATACCGGTGCCCTGCCGGGTGGTACATTGGATCGTTATCGAAGTACTCGGGAGCCAGCGTGGCTGGTCTTCGCCTGGCTGGTTCCCTCTCCTCATAGGGGTAACTAGGCGGATCGTCATACTTGGGGCCCGCCATCTGTCTGGAACCAGCCAAACACGCAAAGCCGAAGATGCAAAAGATGATCAGCAGCACGGCAACGCCTGCGACTACGGCCACAATGATGATTACATTGGAGGATGTAGGCGTAGCCGTAGTCACTGGCGAAGTTGTGGGGCCGGTGTCGCCAGGTCCAGCCGACAAAATGTCGGCGGTACTGTCGACCGCGAGGAGCTGTTGTCTGATGTTAGTTAGATATCCAGCTATGGCGTAGCTCAGCAAGTTTTGATCCAAATAGTTGTCTGCAGTAACAAAGCAGGTAATGAGCAAAGTTTACTTACAGCTGGACTCATATAGATATCTATCTAACACGTAGATATTTCATAGAGGTACTTTATAGAGTTAGTTTCATAGAGTTTATAAAACCCATGAAGTTGGCATATAAACACCATAAAACCTACCCAAATAAGGTTGCAAGCCTAACTTGCAAAATGAGGTGTGCCGTACTGCTGTACATTTCACTGATGTTATTACTTCTTAGCTCATTTTTTTCATGTAATTTGTGGTGCAACGGGCCAACATCAAAGCTGTTTTTGTGTCATTTTGTCCTAAACCGCCAACTTTACTGATCGTACCTGATTGACGCCTAAACCTCCGTTGTTCGGATCCTTCTTGATGAGTGCTTCGCCTTTTTCTCTGTCCGACGCTCAGTGCAACACAGAGCGGCGATTGCACGTCCAAGGCGACCACGCCCACTCTATATATAGAGCTGGTCTCTGGAGTGGGGTACCCTGACGCCACCAACACGTTGCTCTCTTCGATGAAGTCAGGCAGTTCAGTGCTGGAAAAGGTTTCAAATGTCATTGTAATTTTTCTCGCATCCTCAAAAAATAGGTTTTACCGTTGCCTTAATATAGAGTTATGCTTTCAATGGTTTCTGCCGTTGCTTTTTTTTTAGAATTTTACTCATTTCTTATTAATTTTTAAATAGTCATAGTGGCTTTTGTTTCCTTGTTTGATTGGTCTACATTGAATTGTGTCGTCGTCCAACCGTCCTCACTCTTTGTAATGTCAATGTCGCCGTAACTATTTTAATATTGTTGGTATATGTCACCAAGGCAATGTTGTCCCTATTTCTGAAACTCAATCGTAAATTTTTTCATGTCTTTGTTATTGTTTTTTAAGATGCCATGCAAAATCGTTTCATTTTTGTCTGTATTGTCTACATTATGTCATCAGTTCATTAACTGTCCAACATCACTAGTCACTGTCGTCGGAAATGTTTTCTTAGTTTTGTCACCGATGTCGTCGTGTTCACCTGTTTGTTGCAGGATCCGTGACATCAGGACAGCACTGCCGATAGTTGTCACTCGACGCACAGTATGCATTCAGTGCGTCTGCTACACTTCCCAGTAACGCAGACCTCACGGTACTGAACTGAAATGTGTAAGAATCACCCAATTAATTGTCAAATGACGTTAGAATTGGCAGGATTCCGTCTTCGCAAGAAATGGAAACTTCAATTTTGCACAATTTTGCACAAATTGATGTAATTTATAAGTATGCTCATTTTTTGCGTCGGTGCTAGCTTCAAGTGTACATTGGTTCACTCGCCGCCTCCTCAATTGCACTCAAAACAGCCATAAATCATGAAGACAGTCTCATCCTAAAAACTATTAACCACTGAAAAATACTGTAAGACCATGTTTTTTTTATTAATTCAATTTACAAATTATATCATGGACAATAAAGCTGCTGCCAGGAAGATTTTTTTGTGTTATTTTTACTTACAAGTGCAATATCGTGTCGTACGCGGAACACCACGCTGTACAGTACTTGGGCTGTGCGAACTGCAGAAGTGTAGAAATAAAGTCAACTATTGGTCACTTATATAGTTCTGTTTAAAGGAAAATTGGTATAAAAATAAAGCAACATCCTGGTTTATTCCTCAACACTTTTGAGCCCTTTTCACACTTTAGCCTCTCAACTCAAGTGCTCACGGTGCGAACCCAGTGCCACCCCGTGTTGAGTTTTTTATTTTTTAACCCGGTGTTCAACCCCGCATCGTTTCACACTTGTTTCATGCAAATCAAGCTTTATCATCCTCAGTTACTACTGTTTTGAACCCTGGCAAGAATTTCAACCTGGGTTGAAAATCTCAACTCTGGTCTTGAGCAGGGTCGAGTCCAACCCGGGGCGAAATCCATCTCAGGGTTGACACAGGGTTGAAACTCTTCACGAAACGATGCATGTTTTTAACCTTGTGTCAACCCTGAGATTCTCCTAGTGTGAAAGGGCTATAAACTGATATCACGGTATGATTTTGCTTGACATGACATTCTTATGTGAAGTTATTATGTGACAGGGTAGAGGGATAGTAGGCCTGTACTCTGAGTTGAACTTATTCCAGCGAGATTCAGCGAGAATAAAATGATTTCGACAAACACGAGTAAATCATCGCATTTGTCAAGAGAAGTTTGTTCTTGTACTGGCTCAACTAAAGTAGAGTATTCTGATAAAATATATATAAATATAACTTAAGTATCTGATTTGTAGGAAAGTGATTTAAAAAACGTTATTGTAACTGAATTACTTACGTCAACCTCCCATCATCCTCCCATCATCCGGTTTTGCGTACTATTGAAAACAGGAATATAGCCGGAGTTTGGTACCTAGGTGGTTCACATGAAAAATGTGTCTGTAAAGTCGCAAGATTCTCACTCTTAATTACTCAACTTACACTGGCAGGTTGTTCCCTGGTATCCACTGGCACACGTGCAGTTACAAACAGCAGAATTCAGGGAGCCGCCATTAGCACACTGTAGGGTACACGGCTCAGGCGTTGACGATGCAGCTGTGGCAAAAATAATTGTTTTATTAACTAAGGGAATAAATGTGTGCTCCGGAGGTTTTTATCACTCGTTTAATACCGCTTAGAGTCTGGGTGCTGATAATTACCCGAGCCGGAGGCGAGGGTAATTATCAGCACCCAGACTCTAAGCGGTATTAAACAGAGTGATAAATACCGACCGAGCACATATTTATTCCCATTCATAAATACCTTATCCGTAAAAAAATATCAAATAATTCGTTCAAAAAATCCCGATTTTGTTCAACAAGTTCACTTCATGCTTTTTGAAACATCCCTCTAGCAAAATAATGGAGTGTTCAGCTGGCGAGTAAGATGTAAACAACCCTTTTATGGAGATTGACGCGCGCGTAACATGTTCTGCGCGATGTCACGCAGAACGCACCTGGGGCGTTGCGTTTTGAATTTAGAACTACTAGTGCAGTGCCCGTCTAAAATGTGCATGTTCGGGAAACGCAAATTGCTTTGCCGCTGGTATAGGTTGCATACTTGCAGAGTTTTGGAGAAATGCTCGTGCAAACAATGCACGCGATTCAATGGTGTTGTTTTCACAGGTTGAACGCACACTTACGTCGAAGTTTGTGCCAAGTTTGAAGTTCGACCACCTACAATGGTTGCTCAGTCGACTGCAAAAATAATGTGCCCGTGTACATACCAAAACATGGTATGCAGTGCTATTCACCTATACTGGACAATGTATCGCCCTACAATGCACGTGCGCGTGCCCGTCCTTTTTGCATTGTTTGCGTCATATTGAGCACGCGCGCTTTAGCTTAAACATGACGTAACAATTGAAAAGAACGGCAACGCGTGGTGTTATGTTCTAAGCTGCCACGTTTGCGTCCGAATATACTGCTTTTTTTGCAGCTTTTTCGAGAACCGCTCGTCCAAACCACTACAAACTTGGCACTGCACATTCTGTGGCCCCGAGCAATACACCCGCCGATTTTCAACTTCATACGGTGCCCGGTTCTGGAGATAATCGACGGACAGACAGACAGACAGAGATTCTTGGAATTATAATGAGATAAAATTCTGACTCGCTTGTAGTGTTGCGCATGCCTACGTGAGGATTGTGAACGTTCAACCAATGAAACGGTAAGAGGCACTGGATTTTTAGGAGTCCACATTTTATTGTGACACTGGAAAAGTGTTTAAGACCAGCTAGCCATGTCTTTATCATCCGTTTAAGACCGGCCACGTGACGGGCTTTCGACCAATAGGAATAGCTAAACTGTCTGAGGTATTTATGAATATTAAATAAAAGGTACGTACAGGTTTATCGGGGATTAAACACTTAATTTAATGTGGCGTTAGCTTTGGATGGACAGAAGTTGCTTATGTTTTGCCGACTACAATTTTAGGGGAAATTTGTGAAAAACATGCAACAATTTGTATGCTAAATTTTATCAGGAAAAAAAAGTTTACAATGCCCATTGGTGTGTGAAAAATCATATTAAAAATAGAGGATTCAATGTCAACGAATAACAATCAATTAGTCAGTTAGTTAGTCAGTCAAGGGAATATAGGCTGGTCTTTGTACAAGAATTGTTAACTTGGAATACCTGTTGGGGCAGGCCCATCCGTGTTGGCGCCCCCTTGTGTCCCTCCACCCCCGTTGTTCGACCCCGATGGGGTTGTGGACTCAGTCGGGTCTTCTGACGAAAGAGTAAAAGATTAACTTGCTTTGCCTTAAAAATTCATGCTATGAAAATCATTTCAAAAACTTAGATTGATTTTAATGAAAATGAATGCGTTATAGCTTGCAGGCTGTGCCACAATGGTTGTGTTTAGTACATGTAGTAATAGGACTTATATTCAAAATTAGTCCCGAATCCTCCAAATGTACATAAATTTAAATTTAATGTGATTTAATTTTTTTCACACACTGTGGGGTGTTAGCTTTGTCATGGTTCATTGAATCACTTGGGATTGACTTGTGGGGATTTGTAGGGAACTTATGAAGAACTCTACCACAACACTTTGATGAAGTCCTGAAAGTACTCTCTGTGAGCTTACTCACAATTTTAACAACTTTCGTGGCTTGAAAGACTTTCTCTTTGATTTACGAATTTTATCAATCGTTTTTCATTGCATATTATTATTTGTAGATATTTTAACAACATATTTCTCACCACAAGCGTCATCTGCCGGAGGGGCTGTAAAAAAACATAAACAAAGAGAGATAAAAGTCAGTTGAAAAATTATGTCAACAACCCACTTACTGTTACTTAAAACAAAGTACGCCTGTTTATGTCATAAAAATTAGCTATGTCTGATTGCATCATCAAACCAGTTTCAAACCAGTTTCAAACTCAATGATGTTGTTTGATATGCAATTTTTGTAAATGTGGATATGTGTATCTTAAAGACCAAGACCATTATTTTGTTGCCGCAATTTGGCTTTTTCCCATTCAAATCAACGTAACCAAAGTGAGGCTGGAAGGAAAAATAGTCTGGTTCCTTTTTGCACAAAAAAAACATTGTCATTCAGTACTATTATCGGATATAGGGAACATGACTGAAATGGTGGCAGCATGATAAGGGTCTATACTGGCTTGAAGTAGGTGGGGTTTTTTAAACCTCGGCTTCATCACGAGTTGGGCTTGGAAACATTTTTGCGATTCCTTGAGTTTTGAGGACTCTGGCTCAATATGGGCCAGGAACTTCAAACCCTATGAAGTCAAAGTGTCATCCATTTTGGTTTGAAGTGCCAAAGGTCAAGCCGAAGCTGGTGATAAACCAGAATTTCAAAAATCTCTGATACTCTTGTATAAGATTGCACTATCAGGACTTACAGCATACAGAGCAGGCTACTGGACACTGGTCGTTAAACGCTGGACAATTCACGCTCGGGAACATGGCGACTGTTGTACAATCGCTGATTGTATCGCGGCATTCGACTGCATTCAAAGAATAATAAATGCACGATCCGTATCACATTATAAAGAACACATACAAGTAATATGCTCATTCCACACTTTTAAAAGGAATAAACAACATTTGCAAACATCAGAAAACAAAACTACCAATTTGTGTACGAAATACCTTACTAGGATGTGGTAAATCTGGTGTGAAGTAATTTTCAAGAAAAGTGGTATTTTGTATAAATTTCCAATGGTGGTCGGCCGACCACCGTTGGAAAAAGCTATGCTCCAAATTCACCATTTTTTCCAGTCCAAATTTTGTTTGCTAGTGGTTACATGTTCATGAACGGGTGCACGCCAGCTGGACTGGTTTCCTTACCTTACAATTTTGCGTCATCTATAACTTGATTCATTTCATCTTTAGTGTAGTCAGGGAACCAGACTACTTACACGTTTTTATTTTTCTTGGTTTTTCCCAGCATTTTCGAACACAAAACTTCAAACTTGTCAGGGTAACATTATTTGATGTATTATACTAACCCCTCAAATCGATCATTTCTGAAACTTACTGCAAAAGCCAATGATGTACATTCCCTTTAATAACACCATGCAATCATTGTGTAATATTCTCAAATTTTTCGTGAAATCGCCGGATACAAGTCATGGAGGTTTTCCCACTGATTCTCACATTAAACATGATTTTACCAAATTGAATGCGCTTCCCAGGCTTAAATTCCAACGTGTAAAGTATAGGTTTTGATCAACTCCTAATCCTGTAAAATCAAATTAGAACACAGTTACTTTGATCGAGTTCATGGTGATTTTTTTGTTTGGGGGGGGGGACAATTGGGGGAGGGGGTGGGCAAAGAAATATTTTTGGTCCTTTCCCTCTAGTATCCCAACCAAAATTCCATTAAACATACGTCGGAACTTGAGATTCCCATTTCGGTCATCACTAATTTTTCCCTTCAGTGACCTATCGGCCCTCAGAGAGTGATAATATGTCCTAAAAAGTCAAATTTAGCTGGGAAAATATTAAAGTATTTACTGAGAAAACACTCACTGGTAGACATTTTCAGACCAGTCTCATACGGTTTGTGCACAGGGTGAAAAGTGATGGCGAAATATATGGGGAATCTTTCCCATACCTCATTATGTTTAATAGAATCTGGGTTGGGATTAACAGAGGGGAAACGGACCATTTTTGTGATATAGATACAGAGGGTCCCGTCTTTCTGCAAGTTACAAAACAGTTTGAACTCCAGCTCTATAAAGTCGAATTCCTGATGAGCATTGGAGCTGGAGGTTCTCCAGCTATACACGTACTAGACCCACTAACTGGGGCACTAGAAGTAGAACTCCTTTTTTGACATTTAGGATGTCAAATCCCAAATGTCAGAAGAGGAGTTCTATAGTGCCCCAGGTAGTGGGTCTATACACGTACAAGTTTTAAGTACAAATCTAATCCTAAAGGACCCCATAATAATTTCTATAGAAGACATTCAACTTTTACCGCCAAGCTCGAAGAAAATAGCAACAAGACCATCTTAAAGGGATAATACAACATTTGCAAACATCAAAAAATAAAACTACCAAATCATTTTGAAATACCTTGCTGGACTGTTAGTGAATGACAGTGTAAAGCATCCTGTAAAATCATGGCACCTGGTATACTGTCATTTTCAAGAAAAGTGGTATTTTTGTATCAATTTCCAACGCTGATCGGCCGGTCAGCGTTGGAAACAACTGGCTTTTTTTCAAATACTGGCCCCAATTGACCATCGCACTTGTTTGCAATCGATTACAAACCTATGAACGGGTACGAGCCAGCTAGACTGGTTCCCTGACCTTACAATTCCCCAATGTATGTATACTGCTCTGTTCCTCTTATATGGAGTCAGGGAACCAGACTACAGGAAAATGATCGTTTTTCTTGGTTTTTATAGCATTTTCGAACCCAAAACCTCAAAAAAGTCAGTGTAACTATATTTGCTATATATTTCAAACCCCCCAATTCCATCCATTTCTGAAAATTACAGCAAAAGCAAATGATGTATATTCCCTTTAAGTTATTTTACACTTACTCGAGCAGTCGGCACCAGACCATCCAGACAGACACTCGCATCGACACTCAGCTTGGTTGAGCGTGCCACAGTTGACGCACTGTGCTCTGCATGCTATACCACAGAAACAAGTATTGTGACCAAGTTTAATACAATATGTACATTATAAAGTTAAAGAACGATAAAAACCTAATATTGGAACCGAAAAGCGACAAACTCAGTCCCTTAAAATATGGGTCCTGCAACGACCATAGCAGGAAATATTTTAATACCTGACATTGGAAAGAAAGATATCCTAACAAAAGAACACACAAAATGGCACCATTTCTTACAATTAGCACAGAAAAGTAATAATGTAATATAGGCCTAAGTCGAAAAAAAGACATTGATAAGGCAAAAAAAAATAATAAGTCGGTCTCTGGTCAGCGTGCGCGTCGACTTTAATCATGCGCGTCGATCTTTTTTTTCTCCAAAATGTTCCGTGGTAGCTCCAACAGCGCCCTCTATTTCTGCACCTCCTTAATTTTTTTTACCAAAGAGCACCAAGGAATCGGAAATTGCACCAAGGCAAATGATCGAAAGCACCAAGGCAAATTATGGAGGACACCAATGTACATGAGGACACCAAAAAAGCAAAATAGTACCCACTTTGTCTGTACAATCCAAGCTTGAAGAAGAAAAAAAAGCCAAAAAAAAAAAAAAAAGCCGCGTGGCCGCGTCAATTCCGGAACTTTGGTCTGACCAGAGACGGAATATTTTTTTTTTTGGCCTAAGAACGGGGTTGATTGAACCTGCGACCTGAATATTATCTTGTGTAAGTCATCATTGGGCATGGAGGTATAGCTACCCATGCACTTATATTACTTTTTTTCGGAGCCCCAAATTGTACCCCAGAAAATGATCAGATGGTATAAGATCCTTTGGTAGGGCTGTGGGTGGAAGTGAATTGTGCACCATACCGCCTAATTATATCACGAACGAATTGTGCCGCCCACTTGACTCCTTGCCTTTACAATGTGCCGACCATTAGGAAAAATGGCATGAAATAGAGCCTGGCTAACCTATTCTGGTATGCCTACTTACCGCAACCACCTTCGTCAGCGCAAACAGATACTGAGGCTGTCAACAAAATACATGGAAATGGAAAATGAAAATTTCCGCATGGATGGCGAGTAATTACATATTGAGGCATATTAGGAAAGCCATATTTCATGCAACAGAGGTCTTAATTTTAAATTCGCCGTCCTGTCACGCCAATGACTACGAAGTTTCTCACGAAATTGAGAGAAACAGAACAACATGAATGATGAATACCTTTTTCAAAGTTTCTTCAAATAAGCAAGTGAAGTTGAAATCTATTTTGATTGTGTACCGTTGGGTACTCACCACAGTTGTTATTGATGCAATAGCCGAGACCGGAATCACACTTGGTACAACTTGGGCCTGAAATATAGGGTTTTACCCCTTGATAATTCCCTCTGCAAAGAAAAGGCAAAAGAAAACCTCAAAACGGTCAGAATTCAGATTAAACGTTTAACGTGGCTCATACTCAAAGTATATTTATCGGAGTGATAAATTATCTATAGCAAATCTTTAGATTTAAGATTTCGCTGGAAAAGGCTCATGTGGTTAACAGCTCCCTTCCGTCTGACCAATGTAAATTATTTGCATATTTCTGGGGGAAATCAAACATGTCCATAAGTTTCCAAAAATAACAGGCATTTGGCGTCTGTTGGGGTATACAATCCTGGATCTGACACTAATCGTCTTCTTCCCTCTTGTTGACAATGCTCACTTATTTCTGGGCCTAAGGAGCAGACAACCATATCTTGGCATTTTCTTCGATTTCTAGACGTAGAAATGGACATTTACTGAGCAAAACGTCGACAAGCTGTGTTCGCGACGCCAGTTAACCCTAAAGGGGCCGGGGGGCGGAATCCGCCCCCCCCCCCTCAACATTTTCCGTGATAGCCTCTTAAAAAAAAATTTTCGCGACCCGAGCTTTTATGTCTTTTTAGCCTCGAGCTTTGCGCATCTTTTGATACCAAAAACATAAAAAACGGACCACGGGTTGCCGAGTAGCAAAAACTTTTCCGGCGCTACGCGCCGTGAAAACTGAATTTTCGCATATACGTCGTGTACACAGAGCAGAATTGCCATTCGTACATATGAATAATTAATTAGCCATAATTCCCAAACCCTTTGACCTATAGTCATGAAATTTCTTGGGTATGTTTAGGAAGAGTTGCTCTATGCATGTGCCGAGTTTCAATTTTTTTCGTAACTCGATGGCTGAGATCTTAGGGGGGGGGGCGGAATCCGCCCCCCCCCCCCCCCGGCTGAGAGATGGTCAAAATAACCCGGCCCCTTTAGGGTTAAGTTTCTGGCATCATTTTAATACGGATAGGGCGCTATGACGTCATACTCACGCGGGAGCGTAGTGGCACGTGATCATCCAAGCTGCCACACCGCTAAACACGTAGGTAGGAGTGTCGCTGTCAGTTACTCCATCAGGGCAGTGGTGGACGCCGCACCCCACAACATTGGATTGAGCCCAAACAGCCTGTATCGGAGAAATAAAATATCCGATCAGTCATAATAATTTTTGAGCGATTGGCATTGCAACGACAACAGCAGAAATGTGTATTTGTGCTTTTTGGGTGTGGCACCTTGAAAAAAAATAGTTTATCAAATTCAATTGATAATTTTCTAGCATTACATTAGTAATGAGCTTTCAGCCCGCGACAAGTAATCAATCAATTTCATTTTTTGGTAAGAGCGGGACGCTAAATTCGTTCCGAAAAGTGCGCGCAATTTCTGAACTGGAGCGCGCCATTTAAAACCACTTTTTAAAACTGTATAAAGGCCTGCAAAAATAAACAAGCAACTTTATTTTTTTCCAGGACATTATATTCCTTCAACTTAAATTCGTTCGGAAAAGAAAATCGAAATTTGGAAAAGGAAGAAGGCACGTATTTACCAACTTTAATTATAAAAGGATCGCAGTAACTTTACTTAAATCTAAACGATTGGAAATGCGTATCTTTTTTTGTTAATTACAGTAACATGTAAACCTGCTGGGTCCATGATAACTTGAGGTTTGCGTCTATTTGTACCCCCAATGGGCTTGAAGTGGGTGCGGACATCCGGGAGCTTTACTTTGCGTTCTTGCATGTAAATTGGCCGTATCACGTGTGCACAAAGTTCATAGACGATATACGTCACTTTGTTCAAGTTCGTGGTGCACCCGACGATTTACCAAAGTCAATGATTCTTCAGTGCAGCTGGAGTGTTCAATTATATGACTCATCGCAATCGGTGAAAACTAGTGTGGAAATTAATAGATGTTTTCATTGGCTATCCCGCCGCCCCCACACCTTCTACTTCGATGTACGTGTAGGCCTACTCGGTCGACCCTGGAGAAGTTTACAGAAACGTGCATTAGCCTATGTGTGAAGTGACTATCGCCTCAATATAGGTGGTTCCATAAGATGAACCTATAGGGTTACAGTACATCCCTGATCTTAACAGGACTTCTTTCTCAGAGTAGAAAAACTGAGAACATCACCACAAACTTCTCTCGAGTTGAAAGCATATCCCCTCCAACATGCATATAACAACAAATCGTATTCATTGTTAAGTATTAAAAATAATATTAAGACGCAGCGACGGAAAATCTCAAATTATAAGAGGTTCAGCATCTTGTGAATAGTACAACAACATAATAACACACACCTCGCTGTATTTTGTTATGATAAATTTAGAATAATTCCAAAGCTGTACCTATAGGAAGTTGCCGATATAACCTTACTCCTATTATACCTTACTCTATTTTGGTGAGAAAAAAAAACACGTCATATGAGCAGAAACGAAGAATAGTAACTTTGGTGAACATCCTTTTGACATGTTTGATTGGTTCTTAAGGAAATGAAAAGAAATGCAGCATGCTTTGTCTACAAAGTTTAACCACCGAGCGAGGTATACTCCACCCATTGCGCAGTGGCTTGTGTAAAATACTCATTATTAGCTTCAAAGAGCTTCTTCTGTGCAGCATTGAGTTCATTGTACCACAAATCCTCTACCACGATCTGGGATTGTACACAGGCCTTGCATATCTCTGACGTCAGGCCTGGCGCATGCCTTGCAATTTTTTCCGCTGTGTTACGCCTGAATTAAGTTGATGCAGTAGTTTATATACCGGTGGGGGAAGTTATACGGAAACAAATGCCTTTTGCAGTAATGTCGGCCGGTTCAACGGTCTATGAGTAAAGTCAGGTTCGAAACTTAAATCCAACTTGGCGTCAATCGGTGGGGGACCGGGGGGAGGGGGGCAATTTAAGTGGGGGATATCATTGCCCCCCCCCCCATTTTTTCGTCCCCGAATAAAAATTGTAGTCTATATGTGATTCTATAGCTCAGAATAGCTGATTCCATGACTCCAAACTTGAAAATGATGTTTAAATGATAAGCTTTCGCAAAAAAAAAAAAATAATCAAGCTGCTGCAAACTGCTCACTGACTGGATTGACCTGAAATATAAAAATCTAAAAGTAGGCCTGATTTATTTCGTCTCTAGCAAATACTTCTTCAGAGGCAAAATGAGGAAGAAGAAGAAGAAGTCTTGAGTTTCTAACTTTCTGATAAAAAAAATGGTTAAATTGGTCAGAAATTGTCTCAGATCGCACCACAGAGCGTCTATATAGAATAAAAAAAATAAAAATAATAATTTCGGAGCCCTTAAGCGGGCCCCAAATTCGTCAACTGTCCTCCACCCACTTTTTTCGTCTCCAAATAGAAATTGAAGCATATGATACTTAAGCTCAGAATAGCTGATTCAATGACTCCAAACTCCAGAATTATGTTTAAATGATAAAGTTTTGCTTTAAAAAAATGGTAAAGTGGTCTATCATACGTTAGAAATTACCTAATATAAACTGCACAACAGAGCGTCTAGAGGCCAAACATTTTCTGGGCCTTTAAAGCGGGCCCCACTGTGCCCCGAACCCCACGCCGTTAAGGCTTCGCGCTTCGCGCTCGTACCTTAGTTTTGATCAAAGTATGCCCCCACACTTTTGAAAAGCGATTGACGCCCTTGATTATTATTATCGAAGAAGTTAAGTTGATGCAGTAGTTTCGTATGGACATTTACGAGAACAAAAACCTGCCTTTTGCAGTAATGCGGGCCAGTTCAACACGTTTGAAACTTACTAAGCATGGCTCGCATAGTCGGTAAAAAGGAGGAACAATTGGTTAAATTTAAAAATTCATGGTCGACCGAATCCCGGATCGGAAAGGGGGATTAATTTATTAAGGGAAGTTGTCGGGGAAATTGGCATCTTTCCTCTAAATCGTCACAACCTTTGGGGAAATACTGATGTTTGATGGTGACACTGAACTGCAGCAACTATTCCACAGAACTTTCCTTGTATTGTAACCCTGATGCAGTGATGCTACACAAAATCAACCTGATTTTGGGTTCCAACATCAGATAACAGAAGAGTGAAGAAAGACGCAATGTAGCTACAATGCAGCCAGTCTAGCAATTGTACACACACGATTCGACGAAACCAAACGGGAGCAGCCTCGTCCCCAGTGCTTACTTTATTTCCAACGTTGTTTAGCAGGTAGTGGTGGGCGCGTACTGCTCGACACCCTGGAAACGAGGTTGAAACGGGAGCTTTGACCGATTTTTTTGTTAAAAAACGAGTCAGAAAATTGGGGCAGAATGGGTTTTTTTGGACAGATTTCTGGCAGAATTCTGCAAAAATGGATATTGACCAAAAAACATAGCAAATTTGAAAAAAATGGTACATTTTATGATTAAAAAAGCTTAAATATTTTCAGACAAACCCTTGCATAATGCGACAGGTTGGCTGGTCTAGGTGCCGAGGTTCACTGAGAACTGGACTTCGTCGTGACGCAATTTCATAACATCTTTATGTGACTGAATTGTTTGTAATGCGATTTGAAACTAAATTAAGGAAATACTGCAACATCTGCATGTGATTTTAAGTGTATATAATGTATTTTGAGTATAATTCTGGGGAATTTGGCCAAATTTTTGATGAATCTGACAGATTTTTGAATTGCATTTAGCAGAATTTGGCCATGATCTTACGGTCACCCTGATGTGACCTAGCATGCAGTGCAGTAGTTTGTTCTTGTACAAACATGTGCGCGCGTATTCAACTCAAAATTAACTTGTCGAAGACGGTGTAATCCATAAACAGAGAAGTACAAAATGCACGTTTGTTCGGTGTTACACTGCAGACACCGGAGTCGAAAAAGAGACAAAGGTGTCTCGTTTTACAAGCTGCCTTCCGTTCTGAAGCACCAGGGGTCGCAAACCGAAGAACTCAGCCGTCGGCGCAGGGCGAGGTGGTTGGCCAACATCGGCAGGGAGGATTTGCTCGCAAAAGAGGCGACACAGACGTCAACTTTGGTTCACTTACGAGTATGTGGTGACCACTTCATCAGTGGTGAGTTCAGTCGTTTGGGTCAGGGAAATATTTTGGATACAAATACAATTTAGTAAAATAGACCTTTTGCACGGCAGCCATTTTGGAAGTGCTTTGCACATGTTGCTGTTGTCATGTTCGTCTATGGTTCGCCACAGCACAGGGACACGCATGAGTGGATCTTTTGTGAATTTATAGTCGCTGAATTAAAATAACAATAACACCCAAGAGTGCAGTGTGGCTGTGGTTTGCAAAGGGTCTATATATACCTCTACAAAGAAACCTCTCTGGAAAGAAAGGGTTTTTTTTTCCACGCAAAATTTAAAAAGACCTTGAGTGCAGTGCAGGCGATTGTTCCGGTAGGGCAGGCATGACCAAAAGGCTTTCGGTTATTCATTGCTACTAAACAAAAGTGGAAAACCTCTACCTAAAATCGGCAGGTGCCATGCAGTGCAAGAGGTCTGTTGGCAAATAGTCGCATATTAATGCTGGCCTTAAAATACTGGAATGGGTTTCTTGAATAGTGAATACTTTCTTTTTAAGCGTATTTACATAAGTATGTCATTGACATATGTATGTCATCATTTCGTGTGCTATTTTTTTGTATTGTGTCCAGCGTTTGTCCTGGGAGTTTTGGAATTTTTTTACTCTATTCTGTTTAATAATGTTCAAAAGGAAAGATTTTCATATACGAAGTTCACTCAACACCCTGTGTACAAACCCTATGAGATTGGACTGAAATTTTTTTAAGTGTTTTCTAAGAAAATGCTTGTATTTTCTCACTGCTCAAATTGACTTTGATGACATGAAATTGCTATCTGGGGGCTTGTTAGTCAATACAGAGGAAAATTAGTGAACTTCGTATATGGAAATCTTTCCGTTCAAAATAATTTTTGAATTAATTTTAAAAATTGGCAGTCTCCTGGCGACAGGCAGAGCATACTGTCTGAAACGTTGAGTACCCTCCGTTTCTTTTCAGAACCACACATACTCACAAAAGAGATTTACCACATGGTGCTACTGCAATCTTATTACCCTTTCAGTATGCAAACCTTCAAAGCTCGTCTAAATTATTAGAGTTAAATTTTTGGCAAGATTACCATATGCGAAGTTCACTAATTTTCCTCTGTATTGACTAACAAGCCCCCAGATAGCAATTTCATGTCATCAAAGTCAATTTGAGCAGTGAGAAAATACAAGCATTTTTCTTAGAAAACACTTAGAATTTTTCAGTTCAATCTCATAGGGTTTGTACACAGGGTGTTGAGTGAACTTCGTATATGGAAATCTTTCCAAATTTCTTTTTGAACATTGTGTTCATTGTTTAATTTTCCAATTTGTATTGTGTTTGAAATGGAGAGTCCTTACTCTATTATCTGTCCGTTTCATGTTTATTTCAGGAAAGCCGTCGACTTTGTACAGTCCCGCCAGCCCAGACTGGGCACCCACTCTGAATATGGGACACAGTAACCCTGTCGCAGGAGGGCAAACCAACCTGGTCCCCTTCATGTTTCAGTCGCAGGGACCGAGCTTTGTAGCGATTCCATCGGTGCCAACAACAACAGAGAAAGGTATTAAGTTTTCTCATACTATTTTTGAAAGGTGTGGAAGGCCCTGAAATATAGACCTTGTCAAACTTTTTTTCATTTGTTATTTAAGGTTGTGGTAAGTTAGTACGGCAGATGGGTGGTGGGATTGTGCCTTTGATGATACAAGAATGGAAGTTGGCACCAGTCAGGGTATGTCATTAGAAAGATATTTGGCTAAAGGGCCCGCAAATTATCTTTCGAAAAAAATATCTATAGGTAGAATAACAAGCAATGGCAGCCATTTTGACAATTTAGAAAATTGCTTGTTATTCTATCTATATTTTTCAGAGGACAAATCTGCAATGGCCCTATAGCCAAATATTTTTTCAAATGACATATGTACTCTGACTGTCTGCTAAATTTCATGTTTGTATCATCAAAGGCACAATATCCCTAAATATTTCCCTTATCTGTCCCACTAAGTGACGCAACCTTTCACTGGAAAAAAACTAACCTGTATATTCCTACATATCTGAAATATGAGTGGATTTTAAACGATGTTGACATCACTGTACAGTACAGGACGAACAAAATGAGAAAGATGCTCGGTTAGCCGTGTCCTCGGCAATCGACAGGCGTGATGTCATACGTCACTGGTGATGTGGTCTATACTACACGGTTCTTGTTGATGTCATTTTTTAACTGAATATTCACCAAATCATGTATTTTTTTCGTTGGATGGTCACCTTTAAAAAAAATGACACATTTTCTGTGACTAGGAGCCCATCTGTTTCGGTTGTAAGCAGAGGAGGTTTATTTTGAAACGATATGCAGTGAAAAAAAATAGTTTCGTGAATCATTGCTACTGCTAGTTGATTTTCACAATAACTAGATGCCTTTACTGCATGACATCTGTAATTTAACATAAACTTTATTTCCATCTTTGCTTGTTGTGTCTAGGACGACAGTTTGCAGTCCCGATGTTAAATCACCAGAACGTCTCCACCTTACAGCACCCAATCAGCGTGGATCACAACTACCATGTCATGGAGCAAACTCAGCTCCCCTCCGGCATGTTTGTAGTATCCAGACCAGAAATGCAGAGTGCTGGAACAGTGGCACCAATAGTACCCATCAGTATGGAAGGAGGTAAGATAGCCTGAAACATATTCTTTTAAACCTTAATCCTTCCAGATCTATCAAAATCCACCAGATTTTGGAGGATTTTGCTTGATTGAGGAAGGTTGGGCATAGGTAATTTTACTTTACGTTTGGCGTGATTGAACGTTGAAGTATTTGTGTCTCTTGTTTCTTGCATGGTGTAGGACTTAAGGGAGGTTCCTTGCAAAAATGCCGAGGGAGTTAGTTAAGATGCCAATGATTTTTGTAACAGAAGTCAGTGAAAAAAAAAGTAACCTGAAAAAAAAATTGGGCATTCTGTGAGCTCCTTGCTCCAACAAAATGCAATGTGATTCAACAACAGGAGGATTTAAAGTCTGCTGGATACTCTACAGATTAGGTTTGAATGTCCAGAAGATGGCTTTTGAAACTTTGGCTTTACTTTGAACAGCTACATTGTGAGTGACTTTGGCTATCTGTGAGTGGCTTTGGCTAAGTGTCAGTGGCTGTGGCTAACTGTTACTGGCTTTAGCTATCTGTTAGTGGCTGTGGCTAACTGTGAGTGGCTTTGGCTATCTGTGAGGTTTTGTGACTATCTGTGAGTTCTTGTGACTATGTGTGAGTGCCTGTGGCTAACTGTGTGGCTTTGGCTATCTGTGAGGTTTTGTGACTATCTGTGAGTTCTTGTGACTATGTGTGAGTGCCTGTGGCTAACTGTGTGGCTTTGGCTATCTGTGAGTGGCTGTGGCTAACTATGAGTAGCTTTTGCTGTCTGTGAGTGGATTTGAGTATCTGTGAGTGGCTTTGGCTATATGTGAGTTTTTTGTGACTATCTGTGAGTTTTTGTGACTATCTGTGAGTTTTTGTGACTATCTGCGAGTGCCTGTGGCTAAATGTGTGTGGCTTTGGCTATCTGTGAGTGGCTATGGCTAACTGTGAGTAGCTTTTGCTGTCTGTGAGTGGGTTTGAGTATCTGTGAGTGGCTTTGGCTATATGTGAGTTTTTTGTGACTATCTGTGAGTTTTTGTGACTATCTGTGAGTGGCTATGGCTAACTGTGAGTAGCTTTGCTATCTGTGAGTGGATTTGGGTATCTGTGAGTGGCGTGGCTATCTGTGAGTGGCTTACCATGGTGTGAACATATGATGTAACAAGCTTTGGCTAATTTGAGGTGTTAAAATTGTAATGGCTTTTCGTCAAATTGCTTTGGTAAAATGGGGAGCCAACTGTGTGGCTTACTGTAAGTAACTCAGTGGCTCAGTCTGATTTGCTGTGGCATTCAAGGTTTTTGTCACTTTATTTGAGGGGCTAACGTGAGCTGCATGTTGTTTCACCGGAAGTGGCTTATTGCTTTCTGAGGCAATCTTACTTTTAGCAGCTAGCTGAGTGGCAAGTTATTGCTTTGTGTCTTAAACTATAGGGAGACTGTGCTGCCCAATGGGAAAAAAATCAGTATGGATCCTCTAATGTGTTGTCCTTCACAGCTTTGAGAATCTCTAGTTGATTTTGTTCATTTTTGTTCTTGCTGATTTGTTATGTTAATTTTGTTTATTTTGTTACCGTTTTTCTGTCAGCTGTGGCAAACAGAAGTTCCGTAAACGAGGGTGCTCCAACAAACGCCACTGCTACTCAGACTGGCTTAACTAAGCTACAAATAAAGCAGAACGATGACGAGATGCTGTACCTCAGACATGAGCTCTATAAACTGCGAGAGGAGAAAGCTAGCAGCGTACTTGATGAGTTAGCTTTCCAAAATGATGAATACAAGGTTAAGTTCTACACGGGCCTGCCCAGCTTACGCTTACTCATGACTTTCTTGGAGTTCATCTCGCCCCACATTACGTCTTCAAACAGGAACTCCCTGACCAAGTTCCAGGAATTTGTGATGGTGCTGATGCGACTTCGTCGCAACCTGCCGCTGCAGGATCTGGGATACAGATTCAACGTCGCGTCCTCCACAGCCAGCCGTTTGTTTGAAAGGTGGATAGACACAATGGCTGTGAGGCTACAACATCTCATCATGTTCCCGGAACATACTGTTATGGATAGTCGCATCAGTAGGGAGTTTGCGACAGTGTTGGGCGACTACAGGGAACCCATCTTCGTGCACTGCATTGAACTGTTTCTTGATTGGCCTAGGAGTTGGGTCAAGAAGTCAAATCGTAAGACCCCAGAGTCAGTGAAGTTTCTAATCGGCTTGAGTCCCTGTGGCCTGATAGGTTTTGTTTCGAAGGTGTGGATGGGGAAAGACACTCCTCGTTATCAGTCGCAACTAATAGAAAAGAGCGGAATTGTTGAACTTTTGCACCACAACGACGTTGTGTTGTCAGTCCCGGAGTTCGACTTCTCCGAGTCTGGACTGTATGTTGCCAGAGTTATACAACCAGATGTTGCTGACGAAGAGAAGCAACTGTCTGTCCTCGAGTTCAGCAAAGAAGGCACCAAGAGGATCGCGGGATTTGTCAGAGTTCAAACGGAGAGTGTGGTTCGAGCGTTGAGACAGAAATACACGTTTTTGGATGGAAAGGTCAACGCTGAACTTGTGAAGCCCAGAAACGGCCAGCCGGAATCACTCATGGATAAAGTTGTGCGAGTGTGCTGCAGTTTGACAAATACATGCGCCCCTAGCTCACCTCAGTGTTCAACGTTACGGACAAAACTGAAAGGGAATTATGAGTTATTGGGGGACAAGAAGAACAAAAGTCAAGACTGGCAATATAAAGATACAACATAGACGGTTGTTCTTATAATGCGCCTATCAAATGTTTTATTGACTCCAACTCGCACATGTGACTTGTCCCTGTTAACTCAGGCATGCGCACCCAAACCAACGAATCCGCATTCCAGAGTCAGAGTTCACACAACACCTGCCTACATGTACTGTACTTATAAAGATGTAAATTCAATAGTGTTCAATGGCTGGGTTTTACGCAAATCCACCTGCATGCCTGAGTACCGGGTAAATCCATGTCACTTTACTTCCACCAAAATTGAGCAACATGTTCCCAGACTGGTATACACACATGTCATTGAAGTAATTTATTTCCTGCATTGATATGGGTTTCGCAAACGGGAAGTTATTTCTGGAGTACAAAGAAACCAACTCCACCCTTTAGGCAAATCCGCACGATGTATTGATATATGTTGCATTGTACCATGTCTTCCTGAAAGGCTCTTTCAATTGCAGGAAAGGGGCTTTGTAACATAGCTAAAGAAAAAAAGTTAATACACAACATTTGCTTTTGCTGTAACTTTCAGAAATCGATGGACTAACAAAATGATGGATTTGTTGGTTAGTATTTTAAAAACAGCACTGGTCTCATCCTGGTCTCATCCTTCGTAATCTTCTACTCAAAATACAGGTATTCTTTCACATCGCCCATCCCAGTCATCAATATTCCCTTGACCTAGCCAAGCAATCGTTATTCCCTGGTTTATGCTTTTCTTGTTATGCTTTTCTTGTTATGCTAAATTGTTAATTATTTAATTTGTCAATTTGTCTCTTACTTCTACATTAATTTCTAGTTCCTTGCTTCATTGACATTTAGACTGTTTCTTTTGATTCGTCTTTCATGTTCATGATGTTCTAGGTTCCCTCCATGTCTTTTGGTTGTTGTTGATTTATGATTAATGAATAAAAGACATGAATTAATAAAATAGGAAATATTGTTACACTGGCCTGTGTAATGTTTTGCGTTCACAGAGGCTGGAAAAACCAAGATATGAAATGTTCTTGTACTCTGATTCCCTGACCCTACTTCAGAGGAAGCAGAGTAATTTATAGACATCAAGGAATTGTCAGGTCAGGGAACCAGACTAGCTGGCTTGCACTCATTCGCAGATGTATAACCGATTGCAAACAAAATGTGGACTAACTAATTTTGGTAAACTGGGGGCAGTATTTGAAAAAGTATCATTGGAAATGATACAAAATTCCACTTTTCTTTAAAATGACAGCACACCAGGTGTCACGATATCACAGGATGCTTGAGACTATTATTCACTTACAGTCAAGTAAGGTATACATTTCATAATAATTTGGTAGTTTTGTTTTGCAAATGTTGTATATTACTTTTGTAAGTTAGTTTTTATCGATTTTGGCCGATTTTTTGTAGAGACATAACAAGCTTTCATTTGTGACTGATGTAATGATTCAAATAAATTTTTAATATTTGCATTTTCATAAGTTGATAAATACAGTCAACAATAAATTTAAAAAAACCTTAATTCCGAGTGAATGACCACCACTAAATTTCTTTGTCACATTTCATTTGAACATATTTTCGCTTAATTTGCGACTGAATAACTTGTCATTGCTTCTGATTCACTTGTGATTTTACTTGTGATTTCACTTTGATTTCACTTGTGATTTCACTTGTGATTTCACTTGTGATTACTTGTGAGTAGCTTGTGATTGATTTGAACTGATAACTTGTGATTGACATGTGATACCTTGTGATTGACTTATGATTACTTGCACCGACTTGCGAACCCTCCACTACAACTGGGATTCGTTGATGAAACAAACTAATCAATCAATTGATCAAGGAACTAGGTTGGCCACTACTTGAACTTAGAAGAATGACATCCAAATTAACAATGTTTTATCAAATCACCCATGGACTTGACATCAACCACGACTTGACCCTACAGACAAGAACACATCGCAGATCACATCAGTATACCTACCATCGTCTGCATGCAAAAACCAAGATGTACAGTGCCAGCTTCTTCCCATCAACCATACCTCACTGGAATGCTCTACCTGAATTGACCATCAACATGACCAAACTAGTCTTCAAGACCGCCGTTGCTGACCCCATTCTTCAAGGGGGCTACCGAATTTAGATTTTCTGGCTCAGCTCCGCGACACACCAGTGGGATGCGGATCGACTGTTTTGCTAGAGAATCCAGATGTAGATCAATCGGTTGTCAATCATTTCAATCAATCTGTCAAACAATTCAAAAGTGACCCATGACCCCGAGTGAACTTTGACGTCCCTCACCTCCCCCTACCTGGTACCCCTTACCTGCGTATAATGTCCGCACTGCTCACCCGACGCACAGCTCAGGTCATCATACCCAAAGAACTGCACCTCATCGTACCACGCCTGCAAGATGGCGTTCACGTCCGGTTGTTCGACGCTACTGGTCACGGCCAGGTTCTCGCCGTAGTTGTCCCCGTATTGCTGGGTCTGCGTCAGGGTCTTGGAAGGATGGTCGCGGGAGTGGCGAAAGTCGCATTTCTGGGACCATTCCTGGGCCGTGGCTGCCAGCAAGGCATCGTAAACCTGCAAAAAAAAAACCGGACATGATACAATTTGAAATTATTCACAGACATGCAGACACACTGAGCGAAGTTTAGGACACCCCGCCCTCTGTAACCTTATAAGGCATTTATGAACATTTGCAATTACACATGTATAACCGGAAAACATACATGTATTCAATAACTTAGTTGTTACTCACCTTTCTTAATGATGAAAACCCCGTCCTCTTAAAACAAAATTGATTTTTTTTTCTCCTAACGACTTTTCCATTTGCATGCTCTGTGTTAACGAAAACAATCTACTTTATTCCGATTTTGGGCGCCTGCAACCCTCTGAAAAAAAACTTGCATTTTGCGCGGAAATGAACCTGACAGCCAATTCATATAGTTCGATTGTTGTGTAGAAATATTCAAAAACTAAATGTAGGTAGATTTTTTTGTTCAATGTCTCATCGAAGTTGAGTAGCTTTACATGTATTCATATTTCAATGAATATAGCAATTGAAGGAAAAAACAAATTCTCTTTTCGAGGTGAAACTCGAAAATAGCACGGGGATTACATCTTTAAGATTTTGAGCAATTTCGTTATACTTCAAACGAAAAGAAAATGCGCAAAAAAGTTCCTATGTGTGCGAAATCCATCGTGAATTTTCCTGACATAATCACGATGCTGTTTTTTTTTTATGCAGGGCAGTTTTACAACAGATTTCTTGTGCAAATTTTGGCTTCAAATTTAGAAAATTCATATCTACCTTTCTCGCGAAATGTCAAAATAATTTTCTAACGCTGGCAGAGAGTGCAGACGTTTGTGGTGCCTCTTTTCGCTGGAATACGCTCATTCACAGAGCGCTAAGTGAATTATAAATGACGATAATTACAAACTCCATTTAAAACTTTTGTGAATCTCCGAAGCATAGTTGATTATAGGCCTATGCACACTAAACCATGGGCGTTGCCAGGATTTTTCCGGGGGGGGGGAACAAATTTCTCCCCGAAATTCCTTAACTTTTTCATTGTATTCTCAATTGATCATGTTTCCGAGCGTGAGCAAGGGAGCATTTGCCCTACCCCCCCCCCCCCCCCCCTCAAATTAGCAGCAATATGGCTTCGCACCTCTTTCAAGTCAAAGGTGTTCACCTTGGAGAGTTGTGAGCATTTTTCCTGATTTTTTTGAAGTGAGGGGCGGCATTTGTCATTGGGATATACGGCAATATATTTATTAAGTCTGAATCCCGTATGGGTGAGTAAAAAAGACGAAACCCAGATTTCGGGACCAATCCATAAGCTTTCTTGTAGTACAAGAATCATTCAAATCACCGTGTGTGCTTTTCAAGTTACGGACTTTTAAACACAACCGCCGTTTAAAGTTCTGTCCACGGATCACAAAAGGTAACTGTTATTTCAGCAAAACGAAAATAAATCACATAGGGATGTGTGTGAATTGTTTTCGTTTTGCTAAAAGAACGCACACCTTTTGTGTGATCCGTGGACAGAACTTTAAAAAAGGTGGTTGTGTTTCCGTAACTTGAAAAGTACACAATTGATTTGAATGATTCTTGTACTAAAACAAATCTTATGAATGGGCTTTCATATCCTAGATTTTGAAAGTGCTACATGCAGAACTTCACTAAAACAATGGTCTCGAAATTTGGGTTGACTCGTTCTTTACATGTACGTTTAATCGGGTTCCGAATCTATGGCAATGCTCCTCAGTTTGCCGTCTGTAAAATCATCTGAGCTTAGACCTGGCTGGATTAGTGATTTCAATACCTTATTCTTGAGTACTGGCGTCTGGGGTTGGTAAGGCCTCAGGCGAGTGTACTTTTAGAGATACAAGGTCGTTCCGTTTCGGCCTTGAGGGCTTTCATGACCGCGCAATTCTTATGGACAATCATGTAGATTTGAAGTTCCGAAAACTGCACTCTTTGTCCTATAGCAGTTAGCAGAGATACATAGATGGTGCCACGTGACTGCGTTGTTTTCATTACCATTTTCCGATTTTTTCCCCCAAACTTTTTGTTAACTGTCTTCAACCAAAATGTTGGGTCGTTTTTGAGATGCGATTTTCATAGAAAATATCGACGTTTTTGTTATCATTTTGGTATTTCTTTCAGACTTTGCAGGGCCAACACACCACTAGCTTACCATGTGTTCCATGTTGGAGGCTGCGGGTGAAACTCCCCCTCTCAGTTCGTTGTGCCTCGCGACGTACGCCTGATGCTGCTCCGGTGTCAGATCGGTGACAGCCCGGCGCGCTCGTCCCCCGGCTGTCGCTCCAAAACTCCCCGTACCACTTTCATCTCCGTGCGCTACTAGCGGACTCACCACAAGCAGCAGTACGAGTAAGTTACACACCATTTTCAAGTTTGGTAACATTACTCCTAATCCTCTGACACATGCACAAACTTTTGACAAAACTGCTTTAAAAGCCTGGTTTTTAACAGCACAATTCTCTGGAAACAGTTTCTCTCATTGCGGGGATTCTTAAAACCGTGTGATTGGGCTCCGTTTGCTTATAAACGGCTCAGTGGTTTTACAAACAACAAATTTTGCCGTGTCCTGGTGCGACTATGCGAACTATAATGACCGTGGGAGGCATTGTTTGAGGTTTTCTTCAATAAATGTGGGGAGAAAAGTGAGCGGGGAAATTTCTGTATTGATCTATCGTCTGTGGGGCGCCTGTCGCGGGTGAGTAAATTCGGCACAATCAAATCACCTCGGAATCGCATTATGCCCATGCATCCAGGTCATCAAGGCTTAACAAAAAATTCACAGTGTGCATCGATCAAATATTAAGTTGAGTAGGCCTAATCATAGAGCAAGGAACAGCAAACGTGAGAAAAACTCCGTTTCCTTGTAAAAAAAAAAACACCCAGTTTATTATAAATTGGGTACAACAGCCAAATGTGTCCTGTGCAGGCTAGGCGCGGATCCCCCGCCCTCGCTCTGACACACAAACAAAAAATTAAAGCAATACGTGCGTCAATACCAATGTGCTGCATTACCTACGTCCGCCTGTCCGCAACAATCGGACATTTTTTTTAAAAATGTGAAGGGCCTAAATCCACCCACCCCCCTGCAAAAAATTCTGGATCCGCCCCTTTATGCTGTCACCACAAATTGAGCATACAGTCGGAAATTGCCGTTTTGCAGAATAGTGGGCAAAGCCAAAATATTAAAAAGAGGGTCGATTTTTTGTGTCCTTTTTTACTTAATTACCAACTTTGTGTTCTATCAGACATCTTTAAAAAGCTACTTTCATTCCGTTTTAGAGATGACTGTTCATTCATTGTATACAACAGTGGGAGTTTTAAAGTTGGTGTACAGGCCTACGTGCTTTTTGGGTGTGGCATCTTGAAATATACATTTTTCAAATTGAATTGATAATTTTCTAGCATTACATTAGTTGTGAGCTTTCAAATGAGACATCGCACGAAAAAAATCTGCCAACGTTCATGACAAGCCATCAATTAATTAATTTCAACTTTTGAATTGAGAGCGGGACGCTCCTAATTTGTTTTGAGTAGGGCCTATAGTGTGCGCAATTTCTGAACTGGAGCGCGCCATTTAAAACCACTTTTCAAACTGTATACAGGCCTGCAAAAACAAACAAGCAAAATGTATTTGTAGGACATTATATTCCATTAAATTTCGTTCGGAAAAGAAAATCTAAATTTTGAAAAAGCACATAGGCCTACTATTTACCAACTTTAAATGCCACTTTCTCAAAATTACTTAATAGTTAGCAGTAATATGAAATATGTTTCCGTTACTGAACTCAGTATACCCCCTAAGGTAATACGCCATCAGAAAGCGCTTGTTCTGCAGCACCAATCCATTGTTGCTTTATTAGCAGAATAAGTCAAGTGCACGGGGTATATTGTTATTGTCGGCAGCAAAATCGGACATGTTGGTTGTGCCGGGCGTCACGTGATGAAGCTGCAACATGTACGACATAAGGAAGCTACGACATCTGCGACGTGTCTGTCGACGTCGGCGTCACAGAACTCGTTGGCAGCGACGAGAACTGACTGTACCGTGCTGAGTTTGTTCCATGATCAATTTGCGTGGTTTTTTTTGGGGGGGGGGGTGTGGGGGAGTCCATTTTTTCCTGGGATGAACCTCACTGCTTGCACGTAGCAACACCGAACTGTTTGTGTGTTTTCGTGACACCAGAGCCAAATGCCTGTCCAGCAGCCCATGAAGGTCTCTTAGTAGTGTGGTCGTAGGGGAAGGTCTAAATAATTATTCCTGCTTGGTTGCACAAGCATGAACATCAGGTCAACTCGCACTTCACCGGCATGGGTCACGACAGTACGACTACCATTGTCCTAGAATACAACCAGATGAAGCCGCCCACGCCCCACAGCTGCATCAATGGGACTTTTTTGAACAATTTCATGCATATTTATCACTGCAACATCACGGTTGAGTTTCTTTTCATGGTTTCTTGGTTTTGTCATAAACTGTAGCCTTCAGACTGAGGTCAGTGCCCGAGGCGTTGTCCAAAAGAATTTAAAAAAAAAAAATAGGCGTCACCTGATTTCGAACTCAGAATTCCCACCTTCTTGATCCCGACAAATTGTTTCTCTTGGAATCACTTTGAAGAATTCTTAGTCATGGTCGCTGCTAGTGCCGTGACACTATGCTACAATACATTTATCATTTAGTACGGTGGTTGTGAGTTGCTCTCTTCAGTTCAGTTTGATGGTTTGTTTTAAAGGGATATTTCGGCCTGGAATGAATCCCGGGACATACCGTTATTTCGTTTTGCTGTTTCAGATTTCCTCAAAAACAATAACAGTAAACGAACCATTGACCGTTTTGTCGTTTTACAGTTTTGTAAAACGGTCAAACGGTATTCAGGAATGCGCCCAATTGACCTATCGCGCTAGAATCGCGTTAGAATCGCGTCAACGCAGCTTGTGAAACTTTGTCCAATTACATATGTACATGATATACAAATGGACGCGGAACGCGCAAAATCTGAGACAAAGAAAACTTTTAAGCGTACAAAAACTTCATAGGGTTGTGTAAGGGGCGTGGCTAACTCGCAAACGGCGATAGGTCAATGGGGTTACAAAGCGCGTTTAAACTAAATGATAATGAATAGAAAGGGCGTTTGAAAGAAGAATATAAACGTCCACACAACCATCCTTTAAAAGCTGGGCGTTTTTGTGTTATTCTTGCGAGAACCATGCAAGAACGAATTTCGGGGTCACAATTTTGTCCCTCGGAAAAATCGAGCTTTTCGCACTCTGCGGAACACCCATTTGTGTAACTGTAGTCTGTGTATTATCATGTACCACACACACAACGTGCAGTGCATTGAATAGACGCGACTTGAACTAGCCCTACGTGTATGTCCGGAACGTAGTGACCGTTTTAGCCGATTTTCGGCTAACTTTGACAGATTTTTTTGTAAAAAAAAAACGAGTTCGACATAAAATTTGACGGAATGAATTTTTTTTGGCAGATTTGTGGCAGAATTCTGCAAAAATGGTTTTGACAGAAAAACAGCTCATTTGCAGAAAAATTGTATATTTTGTTTACAAATGCTTCAATCTTTTTCAAACAAACCCATGCAAAATAGGACAGGTTGCCTGGTCTATGTGCTGAAGGATTATCTTTATGTGGCTATAGATTGTTTATTATGTAATTTGAACATTAATTAAGGCAATATTACAACATTTGCATGTGATTTAAAGGTTTATAGTGTATTTCGAGTAATTCTGGGGAATTTGGCAGATTTTTGATAAATCTGGCCGATTTTTGAAGTGCATTTAGCAGAATTTAGTCATGACCTTACGGTCACCCTGGCCCGGAATGTCCGTCGCGTCCGATGATCCGATCACACCCGTTTTTTCCCTCTTTTCTCGGGAACGGTAAGAGGTTTGTTTCTTTCAACCAGACCCATATAGCCCAAGTATAATTAATCCAAAACATGACATTTTCGGGGATTTCAGGCCGTAATGCCCCTTTAATCGCGGAATGTGTTTCTCTAACCAGGGTCATAATTTTTTAACTAAATATTTGTCACTGGACTTTTATTTCAATAAAAATTCAAGACGAACAACTGAATTTCACTTTTTAAAAGAAAACGGTCTTGGAGTTCAGAAAGTTGTGTGCTTAGTCGTGCGTGCTGCCCTACCCGCTCCGTGTGAGAAAAGTATAGGGCGCCCTCTCTTTTAAACTCCAAATGAACGTCGAACCACAACAACTGCAGACACTTTCCTCAACCGAACTATATTCTTGTTTGATTACAACAAATCTAGTTCTTTATAATATTTCTGTGTTGGTATGTTTCTTTTCAATAAACAGGCATCACAGCAAAACTCTCAAAACCTATATAAAACCTTTAAAACCTATATACATGTATTTCATCTTGGGAGCCTAATTTTTTTTTAATCATTTTATTAAAGCTATATCAAGACATTTTTTTTTAATTCTGCCCTGCATTTTCACAATTTTTAAAGAAAATTTTAAACATCAATGTGACCCACAGTTAAGTTACCAAAGTGCAAAAAAAATCCACAATATCAGTATACCTCTCTAAAGATTTCGTTTTACAAGTGTTTCAGAATTGGGCAGTGTGCATGACGTCTTATCCTGGAGTCCTGCAAATTGGTTATAGATAACTTTATCCATAACAACTTCACTAAGTAATTCATTGCTGCACTTCTGCTACGTCGTGCGGAAAAATGTCACCCTAAAACATATAAATGCCTACATTTTGACGTTTGGAAAGCCTTTAACAACCTATTGATTTATAAATATGATATTGATGAAGAAGGGCATTGTGAGGCTTGAATACATGAAAATACACAGTGCATAAAATCTAGACTCTATAATGTCACCATGTATCATTGTATTTATGCTAAATATCGTCTTAAGGGCAAGATTGTAGCCATTACGACAAATGATATAACGTTCAATGATATATTGAACGACAATAATACACGAACATCAGCTGCTCTGAAAATAACAACAACGTGGATAAACTGTTAAGTACAGGCGAACTACCTCAGCAGTTTGAAGGAACTAGTGCCTGCTTTTCAGTATATCGTTTTATATCAATATTGTCTAAAAACACTGTACAATACGTAAACAGTTAATATTATCTACCGTGAGATAACTATCAAAATGTTTACAATCAAAATACATTATTTCAGTAGGTTGCGCGTATAGCCTTTTGCTTTTTTTTGTTTTTACTTTTGTGTGTGTGTGCAGTAGCTATAGTTCAAGCTAAAGGAACTCACTGCTGAACCTCCTATATATAAGTATAGCATTTCCCGGCTATTTCAAAACATTTCTCATTCCAATTTACCGATTCTAATATTCCAATTCGCCGGAGAAGAATTTCACATGCTTGTAGTAAAATCAATTTAGTCATTTACCATTCAATTAAAAAAGTTGGTCAACCTATTTCAGTACTTGGTCAAGAATATTCGTCAATACAGATTGGATTAGGAACAAAATTAGGAACAGCGAACCTTTCCTGAACTGTCCATCAAACAGTGCGTATTGACCAATTAGATAACGACTTTGTGGTCAGATGGTGCGAAACAAACGTGGGCGGGGCTAATGGCCAAATTCGGAATGGTCCTTTTGGCCACTGCGCTGGCATTATTTAGGTAGGCCCTACTCAGCTAATACTGGAAGAATATAGTCAGGGTACAATACTTGCTTGTGGTAACTTTCCACAGATGAACAGTAATCACGACCCTATCGCATTAGGTGGTCAGATCTTGGAAGGAATAGACCTTCCTCCATATGGGGATAGCTATTCACAGTTCAGCTACAACAGGAAGATTTTTATCAGTGTACATTAGCTTCATTTGGGACCCTTCCATGGCATGCATGGCATCCGCCACGGCACTCACTCCAACAGTCACCGATTGGTCATCGCTAAGCATCATCTTCTCTGTAGAGCCGCCGCGGGATGTCGCCCATCGCCCGGGGGATGACGCGTTTCTTGATTCTGGTCGCACCCGGCCGGCTCGTACCTTCCGGAGTCTGGCCCAGCACCGAAGAGAACCTCTGCGGAGGAGCCCAACGAATTTCCCAAAGCCGTCTTTACCAGCCTTGCCGGCAAGCATGACTACTAGAGCCGACATGGCGACCTCCTCCATCCGCATGGCCGTCTGGAAGATCCACCAGGGCCAGGCCTCGACAAACTCTAGGTCTGAGTAGACACCGAAGACCCCCAGGGCCCCGTATAGGTTGGTGATACAGCTTGCTAGAGCTGCTAACCCGCAGTAGATAACCATACGGTACAGCCTCAGCGGAGATGCTCTCTGCTCCTTGCCTCCTGCAATGGAAGATTCAAGAAAAGACCTGATTTGGATCTGTACGTTTTCCGTAACTGGAACAATAAAAAGCAATGATAGATCCAGCCAGTTTACAGACCATGCCACCTTTAACTTGGTAACCAATGATAATTATTTTTCTTAGACGACTTATATTTTTATCTAGAGGTCCCACATTCGAACTCAGAATGATAGTCCTTCGGAATGCCCCACTTAATTTCTTATCAGCCCACAAACTCCATTTTAATCTTGTAAACGTACCTCTCATTCCTCCCTTTGCGAACGTCGAGGAAAAATTCTTCTTCATCTTGTAGCTCACTCTGAAGAACCCGATAGCCAACGAACCACTCCAAGTAACGTAGATGAACTGGCAGATGACAAGAAGGACCTTCAGGTCGGCAAAGGAGGACACCAGCAAGTCGCTGCCAAGGACCGCTATGAAGTGACCGCTGCAGCAGAAAGAAATCGTTGAAAATTTTTGGAACCTTGGTGGACCGAGAGACAACCTTGTCGTGTCTAGCAAGACCAGGAGAACTGTAGTCATCGCTGCTGTCAAACAAGGGAAGCCAACTGACCACATCATGCGGGAAAGCAATAAAGGCAAGTTCTGGATGGATCCGTAAGGGTTGACCAAGAGCGATATAGCTCGAGTCAGGCCAAGCAGGAAGAGAAGAGTATTGAAGGTAAGGGACAGGACACTCCGGTTGCCTTTCTTGAATTCGTAGATGAGAGCAATTAGAATTTGGATTCCGTACAGCGTAAGGAGAGAGAAGTATATTGCGAAGATGTAAACGTGACACTTGAAAGCAACGCCTATCAGATTGGGAAGTGTGCTCCAGTCGGGACCTGGTTCCGGCCAGTCTTCGCCAACAGGTTCAGGTTCAGACTCCGATTCTGGTTCTGCGCTTGGCTCGGCTTCAGCTTCGGGTTCCACACTCGGTTCTGATTCTGGTTCGCCGGTTGGCTCTGATTCTGGTTCGCCAGTTGGCTCAGATTCTGGTTCGCCAGATGGCTCTGATTCTGGTTCGCCGGATGGCTCTGATTCCGGTTCGCCAGTTGGCTCTGATTCTGGTTCGCCGGATGGCTCTGATTCTGGTTCGCCAGATGGCTCTGATTCTGGTTCGCCGGTCGGTTCTGATTCTGGTTCGCCAGTCGGCTCTGATTCTGGTTCGCCGGATGGCTCTGATTCTGGTTCGCCAGATGGCCCTGATTCTGGTTCGCCGGATGGCTCTGATTCTGGTTCGCCGGATGGCTCTGATTCTGGTTCGCCAGTTGGCTCTGATTCTGGTTCGCCAGATGGCTCTGATTCTGGTTCACCGGATGGTTCTGATTCTGGTTCACCAGATGGCTCTGATTCTGGTTCTCCGGTCGGCTCGGATTCCGGTTCGCCAGTCGGCTCTGATTCTGGTTCGCCATATGGCTCTGATTCTGGTTTGCCGGTCGGTTCTGATTCTGGTTCGCCAGTCGGCTCTGATTCTGGTTCACCAGATGGCTCTGATTCTGGTTCGCCGGATGGCTCTGATTTTGGTTCGCCAGATGGCTCTGATTCTGGTTCGCCAGATGGCTCTGATTCTGGTTCACCAGATGGCTCCGACTCAGGTTCGCCAGATGGCTCTGATTCTGGTTCACCAGATGGCTCTGATTCTGGTTCGCCGGATGGCTCTGATTCTGGTTCGCCGGATGGCTCTGATTCTGGTTCACCAGATGGCTCTGATTCTGGTTCGCCGGATGGCTCTGATTCTGGTTCGCCAGTTGGCTCTGATTCTGGTTCGCCAGATGGCTCTGATTCTGGTTCAACGGATGGTTCTGATTCTGGTTCTCCAGATGGCTCTGATTCTGGTTCTCCGGTCGGCTCGGATTCCGGTTCGCCAACCGGCTCTGATTCTGGTTCGCCATATGGCTCTGATTCTGGTTCGCTGGTCGGTTCTGATTCTGGTTCGCCAGATGGCTCTGATTCTGGTTCGCCAGTTGGTTCTGATTCTGGCTCGCCAGTTGGCTCTGATTCTGGTTCGCCAGATGGCTCCGACTCAGGTTCGCCAGATGGCTCTGACTCTGGTTCGCCTGATGGCTCTGATTCTGGTTCTCCGGTCGGCTCGGATTCCGGTTCGCCAGTCGGCTCTGATTCTGGTTCTCCTGATGGCTCTGATTCTGGTTCGCCGGTCGGTTCTGATTCTGGTTCGCCAGATGGCTCTGATTCTGGCTCGCCAGTTGGCTCTGATTCTGGCTCGCCAGTTGGCTCTGATTCTGGTTCGCCAGATGGCTCCGACTCAGGTTCGCCAGATGGCTCTGACTCTGGTTCGCCAGATGGCTCTGACTCTGGTTCGCCTGATGGCTCTGATTCTGGTTCTCCGGTGGGCTCGGATTCCGGTTCGCCAGTCGGCTCTGACTCTGGTTCACCTGATGGCTCTGATTCTGGTTCGCCGGTCAGTTCTGATTCTGGTTTGCTAGATGGCTCTGATTCTGGTTCTGCAGTTGGCTCTGATTCTGGTTCGCCGGTCGGCTCTGATTCTGGCTCGCCAGTTGGCTCTGATTCTGGCTTGCCAGTTGGTTCTGATTCTGGTTCGCCAGTCGGTTCGGATTCTGGTTCCCCATTTGGCTCTGATTCTGGCTCGCCAGATGGCTCTGATTCTGGTTCGCCGGTTGGCTCTGATTCTGGTTCGCCAGATGGCTCTGATTCTGGTTCGCCGGGTGGCTCTGATTCTGGCTCGCCAGTTGGCTCTGATTCTGGTTCGCTGGTTGGCTCTGATTCTGGTTCGCCTGTTGGCTCAGATTCTGGTTCGCCAGTCGGTTCGGATTCTGGTTCTCCATTTGGCTCTGATTCTGGTTCGCCAGTTGGCTCTGATTCTGGTTCGCCAGTTGGCTCTGATTCTGGTTCGCCAGATGGCTCTGTTTCTGGTTCGACAGTTGGCTCTGATTCTGGTTCGCCAGTTGGCTCTGATTCTGGTTCGCCGGTCGGCTCTGATTCTGGTTCGCCGGTTGGCTCTGATTCTGGTTCGCCTGTTGGCTCTGATTCTGGTTCGCCAGTCGGTTCGGATTCTGGTTCTCCATTTGGCTCTGATTCTGGTTCGCCGGTCGGCTCTGATTCAGGTTCACTGGTCGGCTCTGCAGTATATTGTTGATTAGCCTCCCGTTTGCTTCTTTCATGCCTTTCAAGACGTTTTGTTCTTCTTGGTCCCAAGTCATCAAGAACAAGTGTGTTCCTCATCCCCATAGTATTCTCGGGATAAAAGTTCGAACCTAACAAATTCAAAGCAGCATCTTCAACGTCCCTTTTGCTCAGCTCCTTATTCCTGTAAATCAATCCATTTTGTGAGGTTCGACCTTTAATCGTTGGTGGTTTAGAACCTTTTGAAACCTCAGTGAGGATAGTTTTGTTTGTGGAAGTAGGGTTGCATCCAGTGATGCAGCTGATAGATACTTGGCAGAACAGCATAACCAACCAAGTGATCAATCCTCCATGAAGATCCATCTTGCCTCCGTACATCAGCCGAAAACTGTGAATACAAAAAGAAACAAGTTCGAAAATATACCATATCGTACACATTCCGAAAAGGCAGAAACCATTCGATTCTGAAGTTGAAAGGTCTTGACAAGGCTTAGCTTTGTTTGACAAGACAACGTAATTGATTTACTTGCTGTCTACTAAAAGCTGGGGCCCACATGCTCATCAACAAATTCATTTTTTTTCCCCGAAAATGTTTTCAACTTCTATGCTTTATTCCAACAATGACAAAAATCAATTTTGTTTCTTTTGTTTTTGGGGCGGCCGCAACCCTCTGATTTGTTTTTATCCTGGGCACAAACAGATCCATCTTGCGAGCAGACTGCGTGCCACCCCGCAAGAAGGAATTGTCTTCGCGAGCCGCCAGTAATTCGAATTTTTTTAAGTAATGAATATTGACTAAACTAGACCAATTTGATGAATGTAGTCGATCGTTATACACGAACACACTCAAGTAACGATGAGTCTTCAAAATGAATTTCTCTTCTTTTGGACGAAGCGAACAGTAATCACCAGCAATCGACATCTTTGCGCATATGTACTCCGATGTTGAGTTGATTCGATGTCTGATTACTTTTTCAATCGACCTTCACGAATTGCACTCGACCGACGGGACTTATAGGCCCTATCTGCCGTTACACACCATTCATTTCGAAGGAAAACCGTCAGCAATGATAGATCACGAAAATTTTGCGCCGAGGAGATGTTATTAAAATGAGACTATGGCGTTTCAAAACAGATTGCATTTAATGTTCACCACCGTCATCTCTCCAGAGGGGAAAGACCCCTTTTTTTTTTACTTGCTCAGTGATTTAATTAAAATCCAGCAGGGAAAAATATCTACTGTTATGGCTATATATTCGAGTTCAGTGTTTGTATTTCGCAACAGCCGTGCAAACAGCAACGCTCGTGTACCATATATTATAAATATCTGTGCGCCTTATAAATAAACACGCCGTGCTCTTAAAAAAACGGATTTGTTTTTTCTCCTAACGAATGTTCAATTTGTATTTGTTTGTTTTAACGAAAAAAAATTATTCGGATTTTGGACGTCTGCAAACCTCTGAAAAAGGCTTTCATTTTGCGCACAAATGAACCCGCCCTGCAGCCAATAATTTGTCTGGCAGCCAATAATTTGAATGTTGTGAAGATATAATTCAGTAACTAAACGTCGGTGGATTTTTTTGTTTCGTTTTTTCATTCAAAAGTGAATAACTTTTAATATTGTTAGGATAAAAGCAATTAATAAGAAAAACAAATTTGCTTTACGAGATGAAACTCGAATAAAAGCACGGGGATGAATCTTAAGACATCTTTACTACGCCTCAAAATGTTTACTGCCGTTATTGTTTCTTCCCCCTAAAATCGCAATGTACTGATGGAATCACATGATCAAATACAGCATCACGACGAAACCACGAGAGGGCTCACCCAAACGTGTGTTCACCGTCGATCGTGTACGTCCTCTTTTGTTTGTACTCAAACTTTTTAGGAAAATTCCCATAGGTTTTGTACATGACCCCAATTGCGGACGTATGCTGGGAATCGTGGACGGTATTGTTCTCTTTTGTTCTCTGGTATTTTTCGTCCACGGTTTGAAAAGATGAACACGTACACCCGTACACACTTTTTTGTCCCCGAATAAAAATTGTATCCTATACATTTGCTTCTCTGGCTCAGAATAGCCGATTCAATGATTCCAAACGCGAAAATGATGTTTAAATGATGACCTTCTGCTCAAAAAATGGTCAGAAATTGCCTCAGATCGCACCACAGAGCGTCTAGAATCCAACATTTTTTCGGGGTCCTTTACAAGCGGGCCCCGAATCCCCCACGCCGTTTAGGTTTATTGATCAACGTGTGTCCTCCCCCCCCCCCCCCCCCAACCACCACCACCACTTCTGAGAAGCGATTGACGCCCTTGGTTATAGTGGTCGTTCGTTATAGTGATTGCGCATCATAATAAAATTTAATATTTTGGGAGCCAAAGGGGAGGTTCGTTATAGCCAAATGTTCGTTATAGCGGTGTTCGTTTTACTTGTAACAGTCATCCAATGGGGAAATGAATGGGTTTCATGTGACATCGATTCAAGGAAAAACGGAAATGTAAATTGAAAAAAAAAATTGAATTTTAAAAAGCGTATGTCTCTAGCAATTATGAATCAATTTATTTCCTCAAAAAGATTAAGTAAAGTTACTATGAAGAGAACAAAGAAGAAGTTTCGTTGGTTATAACAGACAATTTTTTGGGAAAAATCCGAGTCAACACATGGAGTCAGCGCAATTTGTCACAATTTGTTGAGAAGATTTATTTCGTACTAAATAACGTACTAAAAAAGGACAGTTGTCATGGCCTAGCGGTTAAGAGCACCGGACTCATGTTCTGGTGTTTCAGAGGCAACAGTGGCGTGGGTTCGAGCCCGCCGGCGGACACTTGTGCCCTTAAGCAAGGCACTTGACCATTATTGCTTTGTCCTTCGGATGGGACGTTAAAGCCGTAGGTCCCGTGTGTTGCATAAATGCACGTAAAAGAACCCAGTAACTTATCGCTAAGGCCAAAAAAAAAAGTCTGCGGTTTCTGGTATGGAGCTTGTCCAAAAAGTGGTGCGGCGACGCGGCTTTTTTTTTTTTTTACCTGACTTTTTTTTTTTTTACCTGACTTTTTTGCTTCAAATGTCGGCTGGTGACTGCAAATGGTGCCCGACTAAACTTAGTGCAAATATATGGGAGTCCAGAGAGGCCACATAAAGCTTATTCTCGATCATAACCCCATCTAAAAACACGTTGAAATTGCGCAGCAGCAGAATTCCAGTCAAACCAGTGAGTTTGGCGGTTTTGAGGCATCATCTTTCATTGAAAAAAAAACTTTTTCATTTTGCCAACGCGCATGGCTACGGCGACGCGCGCGCATACCAGAAACCGGAGACTTTTTTTTTTTGGCCTAAGAGAAGGGGTTTTCCCCGGTGTTTCTGGCCTCCTGTATAAACTCCTACGTGGAGTATTTAGGAGAAGAACCAACCAAGAAACCAAGAACCAAGATACACTGTACATGTAAAATGATATTCACTAGCTACGATGGACCCTGGATTTAGCGTGATGATAAAATAATGAATTTTTGTCAAAACATTGATATCAAATCAAACCGTTGTTTCGGCGCAATTTGTCACAATTTGTTGAGAAGATTTATTTCGACAGAGAAGAACAAATTGGGAGAAAAATAACGTACTAAAAAGGGGCTATAGACCTGACAGTTTCAATGCAATGCAGTTCGTAAGTGTCCCCAAAATTGAGTTGTCTCGATCTTTGGATATTAATGTCTAACAAGTTGACTCAGTCTGAAGTCCGGAGATCTCATTCTGTCATTTGGTCTCGGATTCTTTATAGTACGTCTCGTTTCAATCTTGAAGTTCCGACTGCCGGTTTTGATGGAGTCTCAACTAAACACCGGTCTTAGTGGTTTTCCTCAATCGTTGGCCACTTTCTTTCTACCTATATCTCTCCATCTGTATTAACTCATTCAGTCAAAAGCTGAACACCGTTTCGTAACAAGATGCCCCAGTAAAAAAAAACATTAGACACTCACCTGATGGAATGTCGCAATTTAGTAGAGTTTGGAGTATTCTCCAGGAGATTCTGACTCAATGAAATCTTGCGCCTATAGTCCGTGATGTTTCCAGACACCTCCAACCGATGTTATCTACGGATGCTGCCCGCTCCGCAAGCCGTTGGCGAGTGTGACATCCCCGGCGAAGCAAGTGTGCACGGTGAATGTCAACCCTTCACCTAGGCCTTGGCTCTCTATCGATTCACCCGCCCCATGACACCTCATGTTCGCACCTAAAACACCTCCAATCTGGCAGTTCACCTGTATTTCGTCGATGTCTGACCAAGTCACAACATTCTGGCCCCGGTTGTTGACTTCTCTTACCTGCGCAAGCCCATGTTCAGAGCATTGTACGCGCTCACGGTTGTGTCAACTTATAACGACTACGATCGATTTGACTACAAACAGGATGTGACGGTGAAGGATGAACCTCCGTTATGTAAAGTCAAACAGCCACCTCAGTCAATTTGTATCCCTCGTTGAGGCAGACCTCCTTAAGTTCCATCCAGCTAAACCAGGAGCTTGCAGACCCAATCACGAATCGGACGAACTGAATGGCCGTGTCGTTATCCCAGAATGATGTACTGACGCGCAAATATTTGGTTTCTTGGTTTTTTCCCCCTGGGAATTTACGGTGAAAATGTCAAACCCATTTCAAAAACAAGCACGTGTCGGATGATCCTGCGTGAAGTTTAAGTGTCACCACTTTAACAATTTTCGTAATGATGTCTCGAAATCCCTGTCGAAGGGTGAAATGGCTTTAAGGTAGCAATTCAATTTCATTCTCCAGTAAGAATTCGGCTCCAATTAATGTTAACCTATATCAGTCCGCTTAGAGAATGTAGTCATGCACCGTGCTCAAGCAAGACGTCAACCTGTATGCGCACAACCGATATTCCGCCACACGCGCCATTATTTAGGTACACCGTATGCGTAGACACTGTTCCTTACACCTCATGTTATTTTTCTTCAGGCGAAATTATCCCTCCTCTTCACATGCCTTTTATTTTTCATCGGGCGTCGTGAGATTGCACCATAGATCACCTGGAATCCCATGTGCTTTGAAATCGAAGCTCAATTTTCTTGGTATTCTCCAGACAGCTCGATGATTCGTTTGAACGAAGTTGTGAGACTCAGGATGGATCAACTGAAGATAACTCCAACATCACGTTGAACCGATCGCGGGGTGAATGAACAGTTATCGAAAACCCGTAGTGGTTTCACCTCCCGTGGCCGCGGACACAAGCCAAAATGAAATTGGAAAGAAGTCGAATGCGGGCTTGCCCTGCACTGCATGAGCAAAAACATGCATTGCTCACCGGTTATTCGATTATACCTGTTCGGATTCGAGAATAGATAATAAGTATCGATAATCCAAAAAGGT